AATTGATCATTCAGTTGGAAATCCTACATAGCATTGTGTTTCCAAGTGCTATACTTTCTGAGCTTTTATCTTGAGTGCTTTCATTGAATCTGAAAATGTGGATGTACAAATGTCTATACATGTATATATCTCCGGAGTGCAGTGCATTACAGGGGTCATTCACCTATCAAAATGTAGCTTGTGATATACAGAATCCAGCCATTTCAAAAATTCATAACGTGATTCTGGCGACTTATTACCCATTTCTCTAGAGCCGGTCACATTTGCTCCTAGTGCCTGTGCTGCTTCAGACACCTGTACACATCTTAATTGTGCCCAAGGCCTCAACATGTTTCCCCTGACTGCTTGCTGACTGAAAGAGTCAATGGCAGAAAATACCCAGTTGAAGGACAAAAGACATCACAATCACCCAGTATGGCTCAACCAAAGATGTGTGAAAACTCCATGTATTCACATGTAAGATAGGCACTCAAGGCTACACAGAAAGGTCTCATGCCATTCTCAGAATTGACTGGATTGCACTGTGCCTTTTCCAAAAATGAACCTTCTTTTTTACACATTCATTTTCCTAACCAGAAAAAGAAAGAAGAAAGTAGAAAATCCATTTCCAATTGTCAGCACATTTACTTGAATGGAAAGTTGATTTCTGCCCTTCTGTAAGCATTCCTGATGCTGAATTACCCTCAAGTCCGAAAAATCTCCGCTTACAGTCCCCTTAAAGACTTGCCATCCCAGCCGCCTGCTGCTTTCCTCTTTATCTCCCAGAATAGGATGATGACAACATCCTAGCCTAAGTTTAAACATGTAACCATCTCCCCTACCAGCTGGGAGCCAAGCAGATGGTCTTACACACCACATACGTGATCACCTCAAACTGTCTAAAGGCTATATATACCACAGGATGCATCACGGAGGATCACTGTGTAACCAAGATCTGCCGTGGAGAAGTTATCTGATGAGCAAATGGAGATCTCTCCTGCCCTACTTTGTCTCTTTGATATGTTGATGAATCTCTGGAAAGCAGCTGTGGTTACGAAGCTATTGTTCCTGCCATAGATTATCAAAAGAGGTTGTTGTGCCAAGACTCACCGCATTATCAGTCCGAAGAGGAAGTGATCAGCGAAGTACGTATTGCATTCATCAGTGGTATACAGAATCAGTGCACCTCCCACAAGGAAGTCCTCAGAGTGAACTGGTCTGTGCGTGGATCACACGTCTTCATCTTTTGTGTCGCAAAATTTTCTCTTGACTCTGTAGGGTGTCAGCAAGCCTCAGACAGGGCTGGTCTGCTTTCATTCCTGGCGTTTTCCAGCAAGACTTGTACATGTGTATTAAGCTCAGACTGTGAGATCAGTCAGTTTCCAGGGTTGGTTGCATCTGCGTCCAAGTGTGTGGGACCGTGTCATTCCAAGTTGTTCATCTAAAAATTTTGCTCTCACAATGAGCGTCACAACCAAATTTGAGTTTCCAATGGCCAATCACGATAATGGAGGCGATGCGACTGTCAAATCGCGATCGGTTCTCAAGCTCACCCTGGCTGACTCTGACGACGACATGCTCGATGAAGGTGTGGTATGCGTTATTGATTCACAATCGTTGTGGTATTAGTTGAACATTTTAACATACTCTTCGTCTAAAATTCATATTAATATCTAGTTTGCTGCTTGCATGGAAAGTTACTTGTGGCGGCCATTTTACCTGTCAATCTTTCAGGTAAACAAATGCATAGGTACTTGTACATGTGAACAAATGAATATGCTTACAGAAATTCCAAATGTATAAACTAAGCCCTTCATTTATTTTTGAACGTGTATTGTTTTGAATGGAGCACCAATTTTTAAATTACTAATTTGAAATACTTCTCTTCAGAAAGCACCAAGAAATATTTTGTTTCAGTAGCAAATGGTATCTCTTTGAAAGCATTTTACTGATTTAATGACTTCAGTAGCCATCAAAATTGAAATCTAAGGCACCATTTTGGAAAAGTCCCTCCTGAAACATTTACGTGCTAACCCTGTACAGTGAATAAATGGCACATTTTTTGTTTTGAAATCCTTGTTGGACCGCAAGTCTCCAGGTGCATGTTTGTAATATTAGCATGGCTGTGACATCCTAAATTTGCAGAATCACACGGAAAGCAGGCTTTGTTTTCTGGGAAATAAAGTTTAAATGACTCTGTGTGGGGTATGTTGGCAAACACAGAATTGGGGGCTGTAACCTTTGTGACTCGTTTTGCAAACATTCGTAGGCAGAAGTAAAAGTTTCATTTAGGGCGGTAAAGTAAATACCTGCTCCATATTTGCAGTAGCAAAGCATTGGCGTGCGTTTGGGGGCAGTTTCTGTCTTGAAACCAAATAATTGCTTTGTGTGATCAAACTCTCAGTTAAAAAGGAAGTGAAACCAAACATTTTTAAAATGTTGGTTTCAACATGTTAAGTGTTTCCTGTTCATCATGCACGGTGTGTAATCAAGACAGCTGTACATTAGGTGTTAAGTTCTTGTACATGTACTTCATGCAGTATTCTTGATCCCTAATTTGGCAGTAGCTTCATCTGTACACATCTTACCGGTAGTTATGAAAAATAAAAGTGTACCACGAGTTTGTCTGCATTATACCTTGTGCTAACTCCACATGGTAACCACAGGGGGTGCTGTTTGACATACTAGTGAGATTAGCAAGCATTGCACATGTACATGTTTGTGCTACCAGTTTTCAACGGACTGTGCACAAATGCGCAACTTTGTCTGTACATGAGCCAGTAATGTTTTGGTTGTGTCCCATTATGTTCTTTTCCCCGACCCCTTTGCTTTTGGGGGGTTTTCTTTAGATTTGATTTTTGTGTCTGTCTTATTTGTTAAGCTCCGTTTTAAAATTTGTTTTCACCACTGCACTTTCATGGTGGAACATTGTACACAGAGCTCCAGATGGTATTTGGGAGGGGGGGCGGGTTGTAGTGAAATGCCACTGTACTGGATTTCAACCACAAGGAAATATGTTTCAACCTTGTAAATACCAGCTCACTGGCCTGGGCTACGTGTGTACTCCAAGGCAGTTCAATCTTTGCTCTGCTATGCAGGACTCAAGCTCTGGAATTTCCTTCTTAAAGAAGCAAGGTCATTTTGTTTCCTTTTGACAGGGCACTCGCATTGAGAAAAATCAAATCCAATATCTGCTGGAATATTTGATCAGGGCAACCCAAGCCTGGACCAGGGCAGCACTGGCCCTTGTTTGCAGTCACATGATTGCAGGCCAACGTTCCTTGTCATAGGTCTACCCAGCAAAGAATATTGCTCAGCTAATTTTCTAGCTTAGCATAAAATCATATGTGAACTAGCCAGAAGTAGCTTAGGCTGCATGATGCTTGAGCTGCTATGCTGTTGAATTTCGCATTCTCGCATTTCATCCGTATTTCATCAGGATTTCAAAGTGACTCAAAGTAGTACATGTAGACTCTTTTGTGCCTGCAATGAGTGGTGAAAAATTTCCTTATTACTGGGTGTTTGGGAAGTTGGGATCACTTGGAATTGACCCCTTCTGTCTTATTTAGCCAAGGAAAATGATGCAGTATTGCATTGTCGCCATACCAATCTCACTTTGCAGCCATATTCACGTCTGGCTTTTCAGTGCTGAGAGCCTGGTGCTTTCATTCATAGTTTCCTGTACCTTGCTATGTGAGCAACGCTGCCTCTAAATGGAATTGTCATGACCCCGACTGCCCAGCCTTACTCTCAGTTTGAAATGGCCCAGAAATCACATAAGAGCTTTATAAGGACAAGGGTATGGGCTTAAGAATATACATGTACATGTATAGTTGATCTTTGTCCAATTAGTTTGTCCAATTAGTTTAATTTATTTGAATCAAGACAATTGATTGGCCAGTTGGGAGGCCACTGACCTTGATAGTTTGAGTAATAGAGTGATCAGTTGGGGGAGGTTTTTTCAGTCATTTTTTTGTAAAATTGAGCTAAAGGTTAGGCTTCTTGTAATTGCATTTGGTAAAAGAATTTAAACACACATCTGATGTGAGATTTACCCTCACCATCATATTTGTGAATTGCTTTCACAGTGATTGTTCTTGCATGTTCCCGGACGTGCAGGGACCACATTTGATCTGGGGTTTTATGTAAACTGTTGCTCTCTGTCTTTGTACCAAGAAAAATAGATCACAACTGCTTGAGGCTAAGCTACATATCAGTTCATAGAATGTATACAGTTTGCCATTGGTTTGCTGTTGTACTGTAACACAACATTCACTGTGTGCTTAAATAATCTAGTATTACATATTGTTTAAGACATTTCATCAGTTTGACCAGAAAAAGTTGTTGCCATATCACAAAGTCATGTTTGGTTGTAGCTGCAATATTTTTTTCTAGTATTTTTACATCTGTACAGTAAATGTATGTGTTAACTTGTATATATGGGTGATTCTATAAATTAGAGGTCCAACTTGGGTGTTCTATTAAGAGTGAAACCATTCAGCTTGTCTGGATGGAACTAATATTAGTACTGTTCACATTCTGTAGATCAAACAGCATTACATTTTTTATGACCTGTACAATATACTGTTCAGTCTGCACAATGTTGGATAATCTTGTGACAATTATAACGAAGAAAAGTTGAATGGCTTCACGTCTAACAGGACACCAAAATGTCCCCAAGTTGGACCCCTAATTTATAGAATCACCCATATGTATATGACTTCCTTCACAAATTTCAACCTACTGGCACGAGTGGTAACACACCTGGGAGAAGGAGAAAAAGTACCGCTACACGGAGAGTCAGTTCAGTTTTCACCTAGGGAGGGGTCAAAATTGTCCTCTGAATAAAATGTCACTTGTGCCTGTCTGCCCCGTCTCTATTGATGAAGTCAAAACAAACTAGTCCATTGATTTGAATGTTGTCACAAACAGTGCAGGATTACTGCCACTTGTACGTTTAGTGCCATTGAACATTCTGTGACTGGTGAACCTTGTTTTCTTGTCATTGTTCCATTGTTTAGCCCCACCCAGCCAGCATAATTTCCAACAGCAACAGCAACAGCAGCAGCAGCAGGCAGCGCAAGCCCAGGCAGAGGAGGAAGCCAGACAGAGGTAAAAAAAAAAGAAAGAGAAGAGAGGAAACTTTGGGGTTTTATATTTTGGTAAGACGTCCAGGGTTGATTTCATGGAGCTGAATAGCAGAAACATGTTGCCCTATAAACTTAAGGCTTAAGTTAATTAAGCAAAGATCAGCCAGCGAGCAATCATATGAAATGTGCATTGCATGACTTTTTAGCGAGGTACGTGTACGTGCTGTTGCTTAGCAGATTTTCTGTGCTTAGTAAGAAGTCTGTGTGCTCAGCAGCCTCGTAAAAATGGAATCAAGACATTGGCAGATTTGGCTGGGAGTTGCTGCCCCACGATAATGATAACCAGAAAACAAGTTTTTCTTTGAGGAAAAACATAGACCATGCAAAACATCTTTCAAGTTTGGGGGGATTAAGTGATTAAGCTCCTAGCAGCAATATTTGATGTCTGAGGCCCCAACACTTCTGGGCCGTTGGAGAGGGACTTACAAGAAAGAAGGTAACTAGTAAATTTGTGAATTAGTGCAAATCAGGAAGCCAGATTTGTTTGATGAAAAAGATACCTAATATGGACCATCCTTTGTCTTTGAAGCAACCACTCCAGTTGAAGGGACTTGAGGTTAGTGACCCAGCAGTGGCGTAGCTAGGATTTTACTAGTAGGGGAGGGGGCACCAGCATCTTATGGGGGGTACCAGCTTTCAGTGGTGTGGTTTTTGGGGGCAAGTTTTGTTACCCTTGTTCAGTATCCATTCATCCATTTTTTCAGTGGGGGGGGCACCTGGGAGGGCATCGGGAATTTGTGGGAGGCACATGCCCCCCTCCCAATGGCTACGCCACTGTGATCCAGGCATGAAAACTACTTATGGAAGCACATTTCATTTGGAAAAGGCAGGTGCTTGCAACAAAAGTGTATTTGGAAGTGGTAGGTTTAGTACAAGAAGAGGACTGTTGTCAGAGAAGCCTGCTGGATACAATTTTCTCCAGATATTGGTGCCATGAGCCAAACGTTTTTTTCCATGTTCCTGGCATATGAAGTTCATTCGGAGGAGTCTGGTGTCAATACCAAATTCCAGACAGAGGTTGTCTCACGAGTGGATATCATTTTGACCATGAATTAAGAGCAGTATCTCAGAGAAAAGTTCACACTGTCATCTGTTTGTCATTCTGCTTGACAATTTGACAACTACTGCAAATGCCAGACTGCAGAAGTCTCGCATCTTGGCCCGCCCTGACCTTTTGAAAGATAGCGTACTTCTATCATTCGGCTGTTATAGCAAATCTGAAGATTGTAGATGGACATAATATAATCACTTTCCGTTTTGCCTTCAAAAGAACTGAGCAGATACGTACATGTACATTAAATTGCATATGACTCCATTCCTACGTACAAATGTGCAGTTTGGGTGTGAAAATGTACATGAAGGTACTGTACATGTGCATTGTGTTTACGTGGGCATTTTTCTGGGGGAGGGCAAAGCACTTATCAACAACAAACCAATAAACCTTTTCGGTCAGAGGCCAATTTTAAGGCGTTTTCCAGCAAATTGGTGATTTTCATCCCAGTAATCTTTTTCTATTCTCTGTCTTTTTTTTTTTTTCATTTTTTGTCAATTTTTTTCCTGGGTTGGCACCCTCTCAAACCCCTGTAAGACATCCATGCATACATGTACATGCTTTTGTGTTTGGGGAGGTTTGTCACAAAATTTGGCTTGTTTTTTGGAGAGAGCGAAGCTATTAATAGTTCCACCATCACAGCTTTCCATCATAACGATATGGAACCGTCTGTTCCACCTATGCATTATGGGATAGCCTAGCATTCCTGTCATTCCTGGCATACCACACTGACTAAATGACAGACATTCCATAGACACTAACAGATGATTAAAAGATGTGCCCTCCTGAGAAAGGATGCTTTTTTAACTTGAGTTGAGTGTCTTTTCTCAAAATAAATTCTGGTTCTTAAAAGTAAGAAAACATTAGGCCCAAACATTCTATGTCATTTTTTAAAAATCCAAGGTTTTTGTTACAAAATGCATTTTAAAAAAGGGAACTGAACAGTGCTTTTTTATTTATTTATTTATTTATTTAAAAGGCAGGAAGAGGGAAGATGGTTTTTAAAAAAACAGAGCTTCACTTGATAATTACACTAAGTGAAATCCATTGTTCTCTACGTGCATTTGGCATTATCTCTTTGGTAATCTTTGACATCATGTTAAAGGACAAAATTCACTTTCTAAATAAAACATACATTTTGGCAAATTCTCAAGTACATATACCCAGTTTGACGGCAGGATACTTGTATGTTGTTGGAATTACATGCACTTGCTCTCTGTATACTGACCTGACATTGGTAGCCATCACCTTTAGGCTGTAGCAGTTAAAGGAATTGCTTATATAAAAAAATTTCAGGAATTGTCGGGGGACATGAGTCTTATTGATATTTGTCATAGAACTTCCCTGAAAAAAGTTGGCATAGCACGAACTGACTCCGTACCACAAAGTGATTTTATAATATATGCTGTGTGGAAAGGTTTCTCCCAAATGACACTATGAATTAGTCAAGTTTTGTTCAAATATTTTACTGTACATACATTCAGAGTACTGAAAGAAAGCAGAACTTCTGTTTTCCCAACAAATCGAGCTACATTCAGGAATGTTTTTGTTTTCCTCTTTTGTGTTTGTTTTTCTTTTTACTTTTACCTGGCTGTTGTTGAACAGTTTGAAGTGTTTGTTAACATCTCACCTGATCTCGTCACATTCGATTTTTGTGAAGTAAATCTCTTTTCCTTGAATTGTTCCAGAGCGTTAGAGCAGCAGCGTGCACAGCAGGAACAGCTGCGGCGACAGCAACAGGAAGAACAGCTCCGACAGCAACAGTATGAGAAACAACAGAGACTCCTCAATGAGCAAGCAGCAGGTAAGGCCCTAGTTCAAAAATTAGGGACTTTGAAGACTGTATGGGAATACCAAAACTTAAGGCAGTGAAAACCAGCAAAATAGGAAAACAGACTGGCACCTGGCCAACGCTCCTTCTCACTGCATCAGTTAAATGTATCAAAATTTGAATGTAGCAGGTCCTTTACACTGTCTCTGTTTCTACATTTTCTCTCCAGTTGTGTGAACAGACTATGGTCATTCTTTTTTTGGGCACCCCCAGCTATGCGTATAAACCTAAGGTCTCCGGTACAGGGAACCCTGGCATGAAGTAATTAAAATGTCGGGCAGGGGCTGAACTAGAAATCCCTTGACTTCACTCTGAGGTGGAAAATGCTGCAGAGAGGTCACTTTTAAAACTGCACTGAGGCCCCAGATTTATAGGTGAAATATTAAAGACCTTGTGTTTGCCTCTTGCAATGTTTGGAGGACTCTGTCCGGTGGAGAGTGAGTAAAATTACTTTAAGAATGTGTTGTATGTTTCTCAAAAAAAATCATGTACATGTATTTTCCAGTATGACTTAAGCATGTACAATAGGTACTGTTTGTAGTCAAAGGCATGCTTCGGTATTTTCATCAGTAGCGAAGCTCTTCAACCAGCTTCAAATCACTTCGTCAAACTTGTACAAATAAACTGCTTCATTAACCGCATCGTCCAAACCAGTATCACACTTCTTATCTCATCCTGTGTCATTTTGAAACCTCGTCAGTTGTTGAAGCTTGCTATCAGCACCCCAATTAAATAATTTCCTTCCTTGGTATCTCTTTCCCAGGGGGAATGCGCAGTCAAGAGGGTTCTTACTTTTCCATAAGTTCATCAGCCGTGTACTTATACGGTTGAGTCAGAATGTTTGGGCATATCAAATTAATTTGAATGAAATTACGGGTGGGTGTATGAAGTAAACCACAGTCTTGTTCATGGAAATCCCAGTGGACAGAAGTATACTTCTGTCATGTTTCCGGCTATTCTAATGGGCTGCCAAAGTTTGCAGGAATATTACCCTTAGTTGTCAGGTTTTGGCCTCAAAACGTACATTTGCCCCATTACATTTAAAAGAAAGCCATATTGTCACATAGTAGGGTGTATGTAGAGCCAGTAACAGATTTTGGGGGGTGTTTTACTGTTGTTTTGCTTTTTTACTGATGGGCAGTCATAATTTTCCCAGCTGTTGGTAGGCAAATAATGTGGCCTTGGAAGAGAACTGTCTGTAGGCAAGTCAACTGTTGAGCATACATGTGTACATGTACGTGCCCCCTGAGGAGATGTCACGGCGGCATGCATAATGATAATCATTATCAGGTTGAAAAATATGTTGGCAATCCCAGTCGTTCTTCCCTGGCATCATTATGTGCATTCCTACATGTACACCAGCCGGCCTAAGGGCTCAGTTCATATTGTCGTTAACGGCAATGCCAGTGATGCAACGTGAATGAATTCAATGCTACATGTGCCAAAACATTTACAGCGAAAACTCACAAGATTCTAATTGTCTTGAATCAGACTTTGTGGCTAGTTGTCAGTGCATACAATCATATGTACAAGTTTATCGCACATATTCTTGTGAAGTTTAAGCAAGCTCTAAGTTTGTTTGTCATGATCCAGAGTGAATCAGTTGCTCATCTTGAGTAGCAATGCAAGATCTTTGTTTCAGTGTCAAAGGTGTTGCATTATTACATCAAGGTATGTACAGTGTAACTATTGTGTCATTCCCCCAAACTTTTTTCCTATCGGGTATACAGCATTTGACTGGTCTTCACGATGTTATATCATTAACCAGTTTTAGCACAAGATCGCTGCGCAGTGACTGGGCTACTGTACTTCAGTACTTTACTTTACTGTACTTGGCTACAGTGACTGGTGACGTCTGTTCCTTCAGAGAAACCATCACGTGGCAATTATTTTGTACATTATGTAAGCTACAGATAGCTTGCTTCTACCATTACTGGGGATGCCCTCGGTGCGCCATATGATCTTGTACTCCAGTCAATATCGTACATGTAGTAGTGCACAGTTTGGCCCAATGTCAAATTTTGCCTGACTAAATGGAAACAGCAAAGACTGTCTGAATTATTTGGCTGTGGCTGGATATGACATGCTCCCGTGGAATCCAATTTCCAGAACCTGTCAGCCACAGCCACAGCCGGTTGATTTGGACATGGCTTGAATCATCTTACTAGGTCAACATGTCAGTATTTTGTCCTTTTCCTCCTACAGCTCCTGCTGGCCCACCCCAACCTCCAGCCGCACCTCCAGCACCCCCGGCTGCCCCACAAGCCCCTCCCGTTCCTGCCGTCCCATCACAGCCTCCGCAGACGTCGCCCACTCAGCCTGGTGCTGCACCCCCGGCAGGGGTGCCCCCACCCCCTCCTCCCCCACCACCCCCAGGGGCTGGTGGGGCTCCTCCTGCACCCCCACCTCCACCCAGTGGTGGCGGCGGCGGCGGCGGCGGCGGCGGCGGTGGAGGACTTGCTGCAGCAATTGCCGCCAATGCTGGCAAGCTCAAGAAAGTCTCCAGGGTAAGCTGCAGTGTGTGTTATGTTTTCTTTCTTCGTAAGGAAGTCTTTTGTTTGCTTTTAATTAATGCAGCAATCTTATTCACCGGAAAGTCATTTTTGGACATGTTCCTGAATTTATTGTATACAATGTAATTTGTCATATGAGATGGTGCCAGACTATTTCAGGCTCTGTGCCTCGGTTTCATTGTTTTTCCGTGTTGCTTTTAAATGTTCAGATGTAATTAGTCACAAGTTTTAAATGACTCATTGTGAGTTTCCATGCCTCACTTTCTGTTTTTTTAGTTTCTCTGAAAATGTTCAATTGTAACTAATCACATTTTTAAATTAGTCATCATCCCAAGTGAAATTAGTTCATGATGAACTTTTATTTCATTGCTTTCATTTTGATTTTTAGGTTCCCCAAATAGATCAAAGTAAAACATGGCTTTCAATTCAGTATGGCCAATTTGTGAATGGTACTCTGTTAGTAGCCATTATTGCAGCTGCTTTATGGTCTTGGCAGGAGATAGATGTCCATTGTATGCCTCTCTCAACCGTAGGCTGGTGAGACTTGCTAAAATGTACATACACCTCAAGTTCAATGCATACATAAGTGTGTTGCCGCTATTGTAACGGCACCGCAGCTACTGTAACGGCATACTCTGTGGTGTTAAGACCAAAGTTATTTCGGCAAATTAGAAAAAGATTAACCCCTGTTGTGGTTTGATGAATGTGTTCTTATCCTTGAAGTTCATGATGATTTTAATTGAATGTTTCAAGCCCCAAGTTTACGTAAACGGCCCAGATTTCATGCAAAATGCTTCCTACTTGATTTCCTCTTCAGGACGAGTCAGGCAGCGGGAGTAGCTCCGGTAGCAGTGCACCAAGCAAAGTGGGCGGAGGAGGTGGTGGCGGAGGCGGGGATTTGATGAGCGAAATGCAGAGGAAACTACAGTCCCGCTTGAAGAAGACAGTGAGTTGACCCACATCTGATAAATACTATTTGCGTGCCTATTATGGTTGTTTATTTCTTGTTATGACACCAAGTATTCCTCAAAAGCACCCTTGGCGCTGTACATGTAGCTCAAAAGCCTGAAGAAACCTGAGGAAGACAGGGAAGAAGTGTTCTGTTCGAAAAAAACAGGAGGCAAATGCAAACATTTAGGTGAACCTTTGAAATTGGGTAGGGGCCGAAAAAACCATCTACACTGGCCTGAAATGGGATTCAATCCCAGAGATGGAAGTCAAGGAAAGGACCACTGCACCAGCCTGACTCACCACACCTACGTGTTCCTGGTTTTCATGTTGACTGAGATTTTTATGTGGACAGAGATTCACAGTGTATCTCTTGCTTGAAATACCAACATTGGCTGGGTGGCTTATTCTGAATCCTACAAAATCCCCTCATAGCTTCTTAGGGATCTTGAAGGATCTAGAAAGATTTAGGGATAATACTGACTGCAGTGACATTGGTTAAGATGTGAAACTTGAACTCTGTCCATTAAAGTCTGTGCCCTTTCCTCTTACAAAAAACCTCAACAAGTGACAAAGCAAATTGATTTGTTTATCAGGATAGCGGCGACAGCAAGCAGACACAGAATGATGCCGGACACCCCAGGACCTGTAAGTACACGTAGACTCGTCTCATTTTCCTCCCCCTACCCCGTCTGCCCACCCCACCCCACCACACCCCACCCCAGCCAATTTGTACCCAGATTTCTGGCTCGCAGTCCACACGTCACAAGAAATCACCAAGTTGTTTTGCTGTTTGTCGCTGTAAAGCATGAGGCATCCCAGCATCCAAACTTTCCGCACACTGCCATAATACACTGTAGGTTTGCTTTTAGTTTGATTGCATGTTTGGAATTCTCCGTGGATCTTTCAACTCAGCACAAATGTCAAGTGGAGTAAACTCTTCATTAATTTATGTTAATTGATATTAATTGATACAATCAGTAACTTACTGACCTTTACATTACTGAGTGCACATATAAGCATGAATTCCTAAAGAGAATATTTTGCTCTTGAGCTAAGTTGGAAGAACCTGGAAAATATTTCAAACATAATAAAAGTAGACCGTCAGTGTATTTTGTGAGTGTAAGGAAGATTTCAAGGTGATGATGTTTCTATATGTTCCCCCCCCCAAAAAAAATAGTTAGTACTTCTGCATACAAGTACTTTCCTTTTTTCTTAGTTCTAACCCCCTCAATTGATATCTTGTTATCCTGTGGTGCAGCGTCGGATTCTGCCCCAAAGAAGCCATGGGAGAAGCAGCCCGGTCCGCCAACGGTCAACAGATTTGGACCAAAGACCAACGGCATGTCCAACGACGCCCAAGTTAGCTCACCCAAACTAAAGTAAGTACATGTATTGTGTGAAGTAAAAAAATGTGGTGTGAAATGGACCCTTTGAAGTCTTGGATGTAAAAAAGGTCATTATTTCAAAAGTGGCCTACGTTGACAACCCCTTGGTTTTCACTGTGCTTGTGTTAGAGATGCTCCTTTCCTCCCTTTTGGTGGAGGGCAGATTGGGAAAGCTTAACTTGGCTATCTGTGCGAACTGTAAAAAAAGGAATGGTATGGTTTACATGCATATAACAGGAACTGCGGTTGGATGTGAAGAACTCATGAGGAAAGCTCGTATAGTGCCCATGAACAAAAGGGCATAAGCCACTGTCTCGTTTCCTTCTATCCTGACTCAAGTTTTACCATTCTGCAGTAGTTGAGAGTGTTTAAAGTGACTAGACACAATCCCTTCAAAAGAGACAGGGTTAATTTCATTGATCGTATAGTGTCTGTTTTCAAATCACCTTACTGTTGAAAAAACCATAGCTCATCCTCAGCCAGAAATATTGGTTCGTACTTGCCATTTTCTTGCACCCCCTCCGTGCAGCAAATTCAAGGTTCCCCAAGGTCGTTGTTTAATTGGACTAATTAATATGACAATTAACAAGGTCCCTTGATCCAGCTACTATGAAGGCCAGTCAAAATCATTAATCTCTCCCAATTTAATCGGATTTGTTGGCAGAATTCCTACCAGTTTGTCCTCAGACGTCTCACTGCTTCTGTTATCGGCGAAATTAAACTACGCGGTCAGAGCCACAGGCTTGACAATTTTGCTTGTTTGTCTTTCTTTGCAGGCGTCGAGGCTCAACCCATAGCAACGGCAGCGAAAGCGACTTGGAGAAACTCAAGCAAGAAATCCTGGCAGACATCAGAGTACAGCTCAACGAGATCAAGCAGGAAATAATTGAAGGTCAGTGGCAGGACCCATCAAGTCACTCTGCTTAGAACAGCAGGGAACTAGTCTTGTGGAGTACACATCGCATGACTTTTTTGGCTAGTAACCCATTTTTGCTGAGCAAAATGTTGTTGCTTTTATCTACTTCTTTGTTATGAACAGCTGGAATTTGCCATTTAAAGTTGTGGCAATACACCTGCTTGGTTTAATTATCAACTGACCCCTTTATTTACTCTATTTTATCATTGACCCTGAAGCTCCCAGCATTTTGGTAGCAAGCTAGCAGTCAGACAACTTCTAGTAGCATGGAGCAACCCAGTGACACTTTCTTTGATCTCCAACAAAATTGGAAAGATTCAGGCCCTTTGTAAAGTGAAAGTGCTAGGGCTGCACAGTTCTGAATTCCACTGAAACCAAGCAATAGCTGTTGTTAGGATTTTGTGGATTTGCAAAGAGTAGGGTGTGGATTTGCAAAGAGTAGGAATAACTCCTGGGCAGAACAAAATATTAATGGTGAACTTAAGCAGTTGTGGTTTGGGGCCTTGTAGAAATATTACTAGACTTTCAGACTTCCCCTGATAGCACTGATTTCATTTCAGATATATGGCCATATTTATGAGGATGGGAGTATAGGGGTGTACTGCGTACCATTCGCTTTTGATTTCTAGATAAGGCATACTCATAAGCCCCACTTGTTGTCAATGATGTGTTTTTAAATCTAAACAAAAAAGGAGAAAGCTGCTTTTGTACTTCCAAATAGGTTTCTCAAAGTTTGGAATAGGGTTGATCATCATGGATGACCAGAAATTGTTGCTTGTACAATAAAGTGTTGGATCAGCGACCAAAGTCTGTGTGTTGTATGCCTTGCAGTGTTACAGCCAAAGATGCGGACAGAAAACGCAAACAGGTGTCCACTCAAGGATTTTTAGTGCTACTTTGCTTCCGAATTCACCGTTTTTCTTTTTCGTCTTCTTTTTTCACTCTCTCTTTCTGTGCAGCTGTCCGAGAAGAGTTGAGTAAAAGATAAAGAGGAGTCCGAGCATCGACCAACCCGTCATTTTCAGTGCCTCAATTTGTATAAACAGCGCCACCAATCTGCCGAAGCAGGCATGCATTATGCTATATACATATTCATAGGTTGCTTTTGCAGCCCCTTATCTCTTATTGGCCAATTTTTTTATACCCTTGTGTAAAGGGGAGAATTTAAACTAACAAGTTTTGCAAGCATGCCTATGTGCTTGATGTAACTATCTGTTAGCTAACAAGTTTCTGGCGTGTTTTTGTTTTTATTTTTTTTTTTCCATCAGGGAACTTAAAATGGCGTAAATGTATCACCTGTAAATTGTATATTAGGAACCTCAACTGCAGTGAGAGAATACTTGATTTGTATCTGTCTTATGGAAATGTGTGGCTCAAGACCATCGGATCAGAGCCGTGCCCACTTCTGTGGCTTTGGTTTCCCCCATGTAAGAATACCCTGGTAGCTTTCAATTTGTATGCAGATCTTAATGAGTGCAGGGAAAAAGCAGGTGTGTATTTTAATTGGATGATGGACTTCTAGTCCCACTTGCCCATGAAGTGCGCTTAAATGAAGGATAGAATTATGATGAAATTTTAACCTTGTGGGAGCATTGGCATTAAAAATCAAATATTGCATTTTATAATACGAGTTGATTCCCGAGGGCTTAATTCTGAGGGGAAGTACATGTAACTTGCCGCATCAAAAACAATTCCGCCCTTGTCTTGATTGTTAATAGGTGAAAAATCATAGCTCTCAAAGAAAGCATTTAACAGTAGACATTACATTGTACATAAAGGCATCATACACTACTCGGTAACCTTCCCTTGATAGGTTCAAAAAACTGAGTATATCAGATAAATTGCTTTGGTGAGAAATAATTGAAGTCCCGAATTTTGAGTGGGCAGAGACTAAAGGCTGTGGCTGGAGATAAAGTTGCCTTCACTGGCCAGCAGCCCATACAAACATGTGTTACACTAAGTCACAGCCATTCTATTCGGACACAGCCAAAGATTGTGTGAGAGCTGCTGTCCACTTTTCAACTATGCAAGTAGTGCATAGAGGCGGCCAAAAGCCCCTGTCTCGTACAGTGCTAGCTCACCAGCTAGATTGGCTGTTTGCAAGATGTTTGCCTAAAGGCTCTCCAGGATCTTCATGTCTCAAAGATTTCCAGGAGGAATTTGCGTAGGTTCACACTGTCTTTCTCTGAAACAAGTCATCTTAAGACTTGTATTGGAAAGAAACTTTTTTAATATAGATAATGTTGGTAATAAAAGAATTCTTAAGTACATATCAAATTATTATTTCTCAAATGAGAACAACTTTGCTGTACAGTGCAGACCTGCATAGAGTATATACTTGGTAGTGACAAGCATTTTAGAGTGTATATTCTTTGTAACTCAAGATGAAGCTGTTGTGTTACTCGATATTACCTTATTTTAACCTGGGTGGTATGTGGAAGTTCACATTCTGCTGCCTTGTACAAGTTGTTGAAACTGCTCTCATACTTAGCTTGTATTTTTTGGTCTTGTTGGAGTCTTATTTCAAATGTGAAGGGAAAAGGTCTCATTTTGTTTCATTGTTTATATTGATTCTGGGGTTGTGAAGGCGCTGAAAATAACCTCTATCTGTAACAGCTTAAGTTACATCAACTGAACCTGCTAGAGCTTGATTTCACGGTGCTCACATTCTGAAGAAAACAGTCACGGAATTTGTAATGGTTTTCTTCTTCTTTTTTTCAGTTCCGCCCATTTCACACTGAGAAGCATTGTATTTGTGGGCCAGAGGCAATCCAGTGATGGTTTCTGACACTGCCCATTTAATCAACTAGAAAAAAATCCTGAAGCAGAATAGCTACAGTTAGAAAATTCAAATCATGTTTCTCTTTCCTCTAAAATGTCTTCATCACCCAAGTGGTTTTGAGGCAAGCACCATGCATGAACAACTTACTTCTGTACTGATTTTTGGTTTGTTCTAAAGTTTGAGTGTACAAATTACTGCATCAACGCTATCAACTTAATCATGCCAGTTAAAAACATGGCCAGTTCCTACTAAAGTGCAAAGTTGTTTTGTTTTTTGTTTTTGTAGTGTGAGAACTTTGACATGTTTTCTTCCTGTTTTCCTGAGAATTTGCCGTTTCCAGTTAGCTAGTGATCATTTGCAATGAAAAGACTTAGGCAGCTTAATTAAGCTTTAGTTTTCTGAGCTAAAGGATCTGAAGGGTAAAACCAAAATTGTACGGACCAAGAAAAATCTGGTTTGGAAGCATATTTCCAAATCACCATTTACTTTGGTTCTTGCATGTAACTGCATTTTCTGATAGATTTCTTATGTTACTGTTTTAAATACTTCTGACACTCATTGATTTATTCATTTGTAATAAAGGACTTTGAATAGCATATCCAGTTATTGTCTAGGAGTTGGCTTCGTTTGAAATCAGGGCCCAATTTCACAGCACTGTTAAGCACACAATTTCACACTCACGGAGACTCTGTGTGTTCATGAAAACCAGAAGCAGTAGGCACAGCAAAAGGCAAGCTTACCTTGGAGGAAAAATTTGCTTCACTTAGTGGCAAGCACCATGAAATAGTGTATCGGGTTAGCAAGATTTTCTTCTGTGGTAAGCATGAGTTTTCTGCTATCTTAGGCGTGACCGTTAAGTTGGGCCCAGAATGTGTAATTTGCAACTGTGCATTTATCACATACTGCCTCCTTGGACAGGCGAAGCTCAGGGGACAAATTTCAACCAAAAAAAAAGAAATTACCGTCACAAACTGTGGCTATTCCTACATGTAACAACTATGTAATACTTAAAACATTTCAGTTAGTGTCTTTTTCTGTTAGTGTAAAGATATTCTGTGGTGCTATTTCCGATTGTCTTTATCAAAGTTTCTCCAGAAAAAATTGACGTTTTGTTAAGCTAGATAAATAATCATCCCCCACACACTCATACATTGATCCACCCTCTGCTACTCCACTAGTTGCCTCTTTCCCCTTAAAGCCGTGGCAGTGCCTTTAGTCTGATATCCTCTGAACAGCTAAAATAGGCGCTCAGAATGTACCCATTAAAAATATTTGTTAGCATTTTGTTACTACCATAATCAGGTTAGTAACCAAGTGGCTTAAGATCCTCTGCCAGTCAGCCAGGTTATCCACGGTATGTAAGGTACCTGAAGTTGAGACACACAGCAAGCTTATGAAATATGACCAGGGCATGTCTGTGTCATTATAGGGCCCCCCTTTCTTCAAGTTACTGTGACTTGATGTGGTGTGACGGACTCATTGTTTACCTGGGATTAACTTGTGTGCAACTCTAGTACTGTTCATGTAAACTTTAATTTGCAGGTATTTAATCACTGAACTCGATGCTTACCCAGAGGTATCCACTGAAACAAGTGACAATTTTTATAATGCTTAAAATCTTACAAATCATGTGTAGCATGCTTTTTGTACATAGGCCAATATTTAGAGCCAAAATTAAAATGCTTTATGCTAATGAATTTCTGCAGATGTAACTGTATCCAAAATCCAGATAATTATGTTGTTAGTTTTCAGTTTATTTAACGAGGTGTTTTGTATATCAGTAATACATGACCTCTCCCGAAAAAAAAATTTGTATACAGGTGACTTTGATTTGCTCTAATAATCAAATTAAATTAGAAGAAATTTGTTTCATAAATAAAAGTAATTTTAAACATCTTTGAATGAGACAAGTGATCCTATAGTTTTACCCTTTGTAAGAGAGGTATCGATCCTATGCTGAAGAAAAATTAGGATATTGGTGAGAACTTACTTGGCAGTTACTTTTATTGAGTGGAATGAATTGAACGCTGATGTGTTTGATTGACACTTAAATCGTTTTATGTGCTAAAAGGGCTATTTTTTTCCTGTCCATAAGGGGGAAAAGGATATGGCATCTTTGCTGCGGTAGGGTCTATTTGGAATCCACGTGCATTGACTGATATTGAATTATTTGACATTCGTGTCAGTTTATAAAAGTTGTGTATAGCTCATGCAATGCTCTCCACTGAAGAATATGATGTTTGGTTTGGGATTTATTGTAATCCATAAAAAAAATATTTATATAAATTTGTCTTGCTTTGTAAGTTAGACCTTTTCCCAAATTGCAGCTCTGTCTGTTAGCATTGGCTTATCTCTGGTCCTGCAACCATTGTAGGCCTTGAGTAGAGGCCAATATCTATGGCTTCTTATTATATGTTCTTGCATTGGTGTTGTGAAAGATCAAGCAATTTTTCAGCTCCAATTACCAAGTGAGGAACCACAGAATGAGATATCTGTAGCCTAACGGGTATGTGGCCGACATTTGAGAAAGGGTCTTCATTTCAAAATGATCTGTTGAATCGTGTATGTGGTAGTCTAACTTCTTTGATATTTAGACAAATTGTAATTTATTTACCGATAAAAATTATTCTTGTGATCTGTTTTAACTGGTATAAATATTGCCTTCCATTCAGCTTGCTCAGAAAAATCTGCTTACCAAAAATTTTGCCAATCCTTTGAGGGATGAAATTAAGGGATTTTTTGCCTTTTTTTTCACTCGTACAATCCTGACTTTTTTTAATCCACTCATTGTGGTACAGTCAAAAATGAAACAAACTATTGACTTACAAAGGTTAACATCCCTTGCCATTCAGTGGTACACTGTGCCCATGTGTGTCAAAGAGTTTCAACTACTCAATAGAGACCAAGAAGTAGTTTCACAGAGAAAATGTTGCCAGGTGGCTGAATTAGTTTGGCAATGCCTGCTCTTAATCTTGGACTTCAGATTAATGTTATGTTACCTCTGTGCTTGGTTTCTATTTTAATGTGTAGTTGAGCTCTCTGGTTACTTTTATTGGCCTCTGTAATGCTGGTGTATGTGATGTGAACCTGAAGAGAAACTCATTCCCCCAAATCAGCCACACAGTATAGCTTATTTGACCCGTGTCACTCAGAGTTCCTCAGAGAAGCAATAACCATAGTTACTCTCTAAACAAAAAGTATATTTTTGACCATTAAGAAGAAAAAAACTTAAGAAGAATTGTAAACTGGACATTAATTCGCACTGTCACTTATACACAGACATGGTGAATTGTGTGAAGAGTTACTGCAGTCATGTTGGTATTTGATTTAACTTTTAATTTAGTGAATTTACTTTTTAATGCTTTCCTGAAATGTGAGGCTCAGAAGTATTAAATTCCAGAGCACAACCTGTTGTAACCATGGTGTGGGTTTACCTCTTACTGACTTCAGACACTAGATTGCAATTACTTATCTGTCTGTTTATGAAAGTGTAATCCTGATCTAATTATGATTCAAAGTATAAATGGCAAATTTGAATAAAATAATGCAAGCTCGACTTTCTATTGATCACGTGAGGCTTCAAGAAAGTGCATTTTGTTGGAGTTTGGCCTTTTGTGTGACTCGACTGGTTTGCACTAAAGTGCGTGAAAACAGTGATGGAACAGTTTAACGGACTCTTTCTCAGATTGATTTAAAGAATTATTTATTCAACTCCAGACAGTTAAAGCACACATTTTGATTTGTTGCGATGTGAATGGAACCGAAATATTCAAGCAGTTGCAGCAAAATTTATCCATAATTCATCAAACTTTTGACACCCATTTAGAACCATTTTATAAATCGGATATCCCAAACTAAGTAATGTAGGCCTACTTGGGAAGAGAAAAAGTATATGCTGTAACCTCTCGTCGTCTCGATAAGCTTCGAAGTTCGGGGGAGGGATAAAGGTTTAAGCATGGAGGAAGGAGGGGACCCGCCTTCCTCCATGTTTTAAGTATAGGCCCAAGCAATTTCATTCGTTGTATGATTTTTCCCGGCACTTAAAGTCGATTTCCTTTGTGAACGGATTAGATTGTACTTGTTTCTGGTTCACATTCATCGTTACGAAATATATAACGTGCTGTAGTCGATCTTTCCTGAGCTTCATTGTTCATGGTTGTGACCTAAAAACATTTGACAGCTGCGGCCGCTAAAAATAAGTAAATTTGCATAATCTTCGAACATTATCCAATCAGCACGAGTTACCCCTAACCTTTGTCGGATACAGCCAATCAGCGTCTTTCCCGCTGCTGGACCGCGAATGTGAAATTACCGTTAAATCGGAATTGCAAGTGTGTACGCTATTTCTTGTGTATTTCCAATGAGGTTTTAGCAAGGAAGCGCTTGTTATTGTATTTTTAGAGCAGAGTATAGCTGAGGTAAGAACCAAAAGTAAAATTCAAATAATTGTTGATATTGGGGCATAAAGATTTTGTTTAAAGAATAAACTAATGAACATTTTGCGTTTTGTTCGCTAAGCCCCGGTGGTGTCGGAATTACATGTATTTAGTAGTAATTATTGGCGTTACGTCCACGTACAGTACCTCTTTACTGGCCTAGGCCTAACATGCCTAACAGGATTGCAGATCAAGTACCTAGAAGGCCTAGCCATTTAGCCCTACTGCACACTGGAATCCTGGGGAATTTTGTGAAAAAGAATTCAGGTTCACCTGTTCACAAAACACAAGACGTGAAAATGTTTTTCCACAAGTTGAAAAGGCTTGAAAAAATTGGAAAGAGTTCCATATTTCTGGACATCACTTGACACCTTGTCATGCTTGTGCACAAACCCTAGTGTTAAAACTTCAAGTGTTTTCTAAGGAAATATTTCAATATTTTCACCTCTAAATTTGATTTTTTTTAATTTTTATTTTAGGGCATGAAACGTTAAAACTTTCTGATGGCTACTGTGCCACTACGAGAACTCAAAGTCGCTCGGCCTAGGCTAGGCCTACTCCGTCACTCACGGAGTATGACGGAGAAGTGACTTTGAATTCTCGAAGTAGGCGTACTGTGCCACTACAAGGAAAGCAAGTTGAAAAACATATGTCCTACACCTGTTCCAAAAAGTTGCAATACATTTTACATTTCTGTGATTCGTTGCACTGGAGTTTTTTGTTTTGCTTTTGGTTTTGGTTTTTGTTTTAAAGAGAAATAAGCAACAAGTACAAAATAATGGGCCCACAGTGATATAGTAATATAGTACTTCCTACTATTCCGTTGTTAATTGGAGGTCTGGTTTTTTTTGGTTTTTTTCAGTGTAAGTGGATGGGTATTTAATGTTTGAATCTCACATTTTCTCAGCAAAATTCACTTAAAATGTCTGAAAGGGTAGGCCCTGGCCATGCTGGGCTGAAAGGTTGAAAATTGTTGTAGTAGATCTGGGCCTGTGATTGAGTGCCAGCAATTTTCACCCGAAAATTTATCACTTTGTGTTATATAATACTACAGTGATGATTAACATATCTTTGCAAGTAATGCTTCATAAGTGATGTCTGGATCAATTAAACAAGAAACCTCATTTCCTTGGTACGCGGGAATAAACAAGGTACATGTACATGTCTATTTGGGATTTTTAACGCAAGTGAAAGATTAGGCAAAAACCAAGTAGTAAAGCATGTGCAGCACTTGCAGCATTGTTTCAGTTTCCTCATTCTGCATTGTTTGTATTGAAGCTTTTAATTTCAACCACCTCGATATTCTGCACCATAGGTACATGTATGTGGTTTTCAAGTGTTAGGATTGGTTACAAGAGGAAAGAAATCAGTCATATTTAATTCCAAAAAGTGATGCTGAAATAACTTATGGGATTTTGGTATCAACAATCATTTTTAAATATTGCGACTTGTTGGGGTATTTCTTTAGATGATATGTCACGAACACCTCATAATTACTTCCAGGAAAATGCTCTTTTTTTATGAAGCAAAATTACATACCTGGCTGTGTGTAGAAGTTTACAATTAATTGAATGCTTTCATCGTTTAAATTCAAATAGGCATTCATTCCAAGCAGTGATTTTCTTTCGAGCAGAAATTTATCCTGTGAAAAGAATGCCACTTAACCATGGCTGTTTGAAAAAGTGAGACCGCAGTAATTACTGTTTGATTCATTTGCTCCATTACTAGCCAAAAACACTCACTGCAATTGGTTCATCTCAACATCCTTACCCTTTCCTAATGTGTAATTATTTCAGCCATCAGGATGCCTTCTCGCAAGTATGGCGTAGGGGAGCAAGTCATGGTCAAATGGCCGGGGAGTGCGCTGTGGTACCCGGCCAAGGTCTTGGCCATTCAAGGCGAGGAATACAGGGTCAAATTTGAAGAGGGCACTGAAGATGAGGTCACTGAAGACTACGTCAAGGTCAGTATTTCAATCCAATTCCTGGGATTTAATTTGTCAGCAGTTTTTAATATTTTGAAGCAGATATTGTCTATAAAATCATCTTGATCATCAAGAATTGTCCCATTTTGCATGTCACCCAAGTCAGTTTGAAGTCATGAAATGCGGAGAACAATTCCAATTTGAGGGAACTGAGAAAAACCAAAGCTTTGGTTGCTTTTCATTGGAGTTAGTTTTTTAACCTTTACTCAAAGGAAAATCTTCTGTCGCTGTTACTCTGAAATTCATGATGTACTTTTGATACCGGTATTCCATTGCCTTGCAGCCTGTGTCCTCATTCAGGAGGCGTTCGCAGTCCAAATCACCCTCCCGGCGACGGTCGCGCTCAAGATCCCCGGCCCGTTCCCCGTCTAGGCAGCGAGTCTCCCGCAGCCCCAGTCGCAAGTCTGTGGCACAGACCTCTTCCGTCAGTAAACAGCGACAGCAGCAGCAGCGGCAACAACAGAAGACCAGCAGCAAGACAATCACCACCACTGTGGTGACGCAGAGCAAGAGCCAACCCAAGCCCGACCTGACTCCAACCAGGACCCCGACCAGGACGCTCATCACCTCCAGGGTTAGTCCCTATCCAGAAGTTACGGCCTTGGCTGGATAACCAGTACATTGCATTCAAAAGTAAACAGTGGGGTATTGTATGAGAAGAATTGACTTTCATATTCAGATTCGCATTTCACAAGGCAACCAAAAAAATTCCCACTTGTGGGGAAATTGGTTAAAATCTTTTCCCACTTGTGTGTGAAGTCTGTTCCCAACTTGAGAAGATCTGTAAAAATCATTGCCCACTTTGGGAAAAGTTTTTCATGATTTGTGAAATGAAAATGACCTTCCTGGGTAGAGAAACAACATGAAGAGAATCTCCCTTTCCGAGGTTATGCACTGTAACATGTACGTATGGAAACTATTGGCTTGTAGTTGGAGCCACTTTCCCAAAAACATGTGTTACCTCTGGCCACAACTGGTGGATGCAATTGCGGCCTTAGTCCGTAACTGTAGCATAGTTGAGAAAAAAAATAAGCAGCAGTCTATCTCAAGCCACTGCGACTTCTCAGCTCAGTGTTAATCTTCGCTTTCTTCCCTTCCCACAAAAGGACTGAGAGTACTTCTACCCCTCCCCTGCATTCATCATACAAATATATATAATATTTACCCATTAATTTGCTTTTGTAATATATGGGTACAAGCTTAATCAGTAACATTTGACAGCTTCTTGAAAAAGAATGATGTTTCTCCTCAGAGCTCCACCGAGGTGCACACCTACACTACTCGATCCTCCACTAAATCAGGTCAGCAAACCTTGGAGCCCTTGGTGGAATTCAAGACCGGCAGAGTCCCCAAAACTACCAGCTATGAATTTGGAGGACCCATCGGTATGCCAGTGTGTTCAACCTTTTCTTGTATTTCAATCAAAACTGAATGCTCACTCAAGAAAATTTTTTCAGTTATCTTTTTTTATTGAAGTCCATCCAAGCTATCGCTATTTTAAAGGGAAGTGGGTTTTTTTATGAAATTCTGTCTTTGAGTCAGGTGCTATTTATCATTTATAGGTAGACTGTCCGCAATCCATCATACTTCTATGAAAATGTTTTATTCATTTTAACAAGTAACAATTGGCTCTTTAATCTGAGTAAAATAAGCAATATTCTCAACACAAAACAAAGCAAAGTGAGAGAAAAAGAGAAAATACCAGAGGTTCGAAAATTTAGCTTTTTAGCTGATTTCAGCTTTTTTGTGTTTAGATGTTGACCCTGAATTTCAGCCTTTTTGTGGACCTGCTGTGTACAAACGTACATGGGGACTTTTTACATTTCAACATTTTGCCAGCTGTTTTCAGCTTTAGTTTGAAGTGGCCACTCACACCCCTGAAATACAGACCCTTAGCCTATGTGATTTGCAGGTATTTGACTGGCAATGATTAACCTTAAAAATTCTAAATGACAAAATTCCGAAACCAGGCTGGCCCAGTTTCATGGCACTGCTGGGCACATGATTTTATTCCAACTGGTGGGGCACATATTTTTTGGAAACCCTCAACAGGAAGTGCACAAAAGGCAGCCTTACCTTTGAGGAAAAATATGCTTAACTTACATGTAGCGGTGTAAGAATGGAAATCTTCATACGCATGCAATTGTCAGAACATGCACGCCATGAAATAGTGCTTTAAGGTTGGACAACATTTTCTGCTGTATTGAGCAGAACTTTTCCGTGAACTCTTAGGCATTGCCATGAAATTTGGTCTAATTTTGGATCCCAAAGGGCTTCCTAGCACAAAAATATCCGAAGCACAGAAAATATTTATTTAGGAGAAACCAGTTACCAGCCAAAATGCCATTCAAAGTGTATTACCTGCAATTGGGTTTTCTAATCATTCTTGCTTGGCACAAAAAATTGCTAAGCAAATGTTTGCTAAGTAGCAGCCTCATGAAATTGGGCCTTTGATTACACCATAATTAGGCAATATTCACGACCGGAACCTGACTGTTTTTTGCTCTTGCTGTAAACATGGGTCTTGATATTCCAATAGCAGGAACGTTTCCACATAACCCTGCACAGGGAGTTGGGGTTGTTAACATTGTCTTTGGTTCCCTCCCTCCGTCCCCCATACAGGCACCCTTTTCATCATGCTCACCCTGCCGCCGTTCATCTACTACCTGTACTTCACCTGCAGCAAGGACATCTGCAGGCTGCAGTTGCTGCCGGCCTTCTCCTACGACTGGAGAGATTACTATGACCGAGAGGCCTACTTGCTATTCCTGGGCTGGATAGCGCTGCAGGCGTTCTTCTACATGCTTCCTGTCGGCTCAGTGAGTGTTGGCTCCCCTGACTGTTGGCAGGGAACCCTTTTATTCTGTGAAATTAGTAGGCTTTGTCTTGACTTTAATGACCTGAGCCCTGATCGCGTGCCTTTCATCATCCGAATGTTCTGATTTAATCCTTTGGCAGGGAACATGAATGGCAGTCTCTACAGTGTTGTTCGATTATGTCATGGTGTAAATTCACAGTAGCCAGCAGTAATGCTCTGTGAAGGAGCCCCTTTGATTCACCACTGGTTTCACTCATTTTAGCATATGTTTACTACTTAGCCAAGATCAAAACTTTGTAAAACAAGAGTTAACTTTCTAAAATAATGCTGGTTTTCATTCTTTATCCAAACTTGCCATAATTTAATGGTTGCCCAACTTCCCCCCAAATCTTTAGAAGGCCCTTTGAATCAGATGAGCGTCACTGGACGAATTCACATCCAACATATGTTGTGTTACTGTATTTCTACTACAGAGAGGATTTAGAAGCAATTTAGCATGTTGCACCTTACGTTGCACCCCTTGAGCTCTGTCATTTTGTCATTGTGTGCAGGTTGTGAAAGGCCTGCCTCTTCGCAATGGACGTAGATTGGAATACAGGTTGAATGGCAAGTATATTATTCAGTTACAGCAAGGTAACCTTTTTTGTTTGAAAAGTATGCTGCGTTTTCCTCCTCAGTCTTGCCTTTTGGACATTTCATCTCACTCTCTGTTTTAATGCTGTGTTTTTAAGCACAGCTCTGGAAGTATCCTATTCTTTTAATTCTGCCTATTTTGGAGAGAGGAAACAATATTGCTGATGTACCCTAACCTTCCCCAACCACACACAATTAAACAGTAGTAAAGTGTTTCATTCTGTGGGGATAGGTCTGGTAGGCCCGTACCAGCTGGCTTTTGCACTGGGTTTGGCATACCTCAGAAAAACCAAGTCCAACAGCCTCTGTGCACAGAGTCCCATATGGGTGTTTAACTTTGTGTGAATGGGAAAGGTTAGGGCCAGCAACCCTTGGGGGGTTAGGGTTGACATGGCAGCAGCCTCTAATGTGGCACACTTTCAGTTTTTGCTTCCATTGTCTTTACGGAAAATATATCTATCACAAATTTCAGAATTAGTGAAACTTCATCAAACTCCTAACATTCTGATTCATAAGTCTCAGGTTTTATGTACCTGCCCCAAAGTTTGGATGAAATTTCATTTTCACCCAATTTTCCGATTTATTTTCTGACATGTGAAATGAACTCTTTTAAAATGTGCCCAAAAAAGGAAAAGAAGTTTTCGACCAGTATTTTAGCTAGGATTTGAAAAGTGGAAGTGCAAAATGAAAAACAGGGAGTGCAATCTTGTTTGAGCATAAAATTTGTGTGCGAAGCACACAACATGAGCGCGCAGCGTGAAGTCCCTTACGGCCGGAATCCACGGCCTGCTAAGGGCCCTGGAAGCTCTGGCTATTTTAGATGCTCTCTGGCAGTCTCTGATGAATTTCTGACATTTTTAATGAGATTTTTGCCTTTTCGAACAAAAAATAACAGCTTTTAGAAAAAGAATTCAATTGTAAACTGTGGGCAATTGTTGTTTTATTCATGTACATGTATAGTGGGATTAAATAGGCCTGCAACAAAGAAGTGAATAATGACAATCACACACCTTGGAACAAATTTCTCATGACCACTTTCTTTTGTTTTCAAAAAAATGATAGGTACAGGTAGTGCAGGTCAGTACTTGACACACGTTTTTGTGCCTTTTTGTTTGCAATACATTACATTCAGATTATTATGTGATAAGCAAACAAAAATAATCAATGATATAAAATGAACCCCAGTATTCCTACGTGAATGTTTCCTTCGTCAATTTGGCTAAAAGGGACAAGCAAATTTGAGTACAAGACTTGACTTCAATGTGGATGAAAAAATACATGTCGTACAAGCACAGTACGTGAACGTATATGCACACTGCACACACACCCATGTCCACCACAGGCAGGCCAGGTGCCCGCGCTCACTTGTGAAAGAGTCTGAACATGGCATCGGAAGAGATCAACAGTGTTTTCCCATCTTTGAGGGAGAAGAACCTAAACAAGCTTTATGCTGATTATTGACAATAACAAAGATTAGGTGTAGGTCTACCCCTATCTTCAAGAAGAAGTCTGTTATGTTTTGTTTCATTCTGGATGATAAAGTGAGCAAGCCCCGAAAGGATTATATGTCAACCTCGTCCCCATGTACTACCTCGTGCGAGAGTGGGTGCAATATGGCAGCTAAGATAGCCATGGGAACGAGGTTGATTACATGGATGATCAATTGCTGGCTAACTCGTGTGGCTCCCTGTGTTCATTTTGTTACAAGTTGATAGATACGGTGCTGTAGTTCATTATTTATAAGTACGGGAACCTGCCTGCCAGCATTGATACACGAAAACATCCAAACTGTAGTCCCAGCGTACATGTGTTTACTGCAGCGTATTTTCTATTTTGGAATGGTTGATGGGGGAAAAAGCATGGGGATAAGACTGAATTTTAGCTCATATTTTATTTTCACATTTTTCGGGATTTAGATTACACAAGCGTCGAATTAAGCGTTGCACGGCTTGATTTGCACCGCCAGGCCGTGCTTGGAACAATGGGCCGTAATTTCACAAAACTGACCATGCAAAACGCGGCTGCATGGCTCACTGGCTAAAACACTGTTTCCAACAAACTTGTGGATGGTTATTTGAGTGGAATTAATGATGCTTTACACGAATTTGTCAAATTTAATGGATTTCGTAAATGTTTATGTGGGATTTTCTGAGATAATTTTCAAGTGCTCCACGTTGGGGTAAACCCTGCTGAATTCAAGCCAAACTTCTGGACGCCGACAGTTTTTGATTTCGAATGAAATTTCGTGACACTGAAATTGTTCACAAAGGTTCAACATCATGTATCATGAAGGTAACAGTACTAGTATTAACGAAATGAGTTGTAAGCTTTTCAAGAAAAAAGGTTGGGCAACGCCGTGTGAGGGAAGTCAAGTGAACATGGAAGTGTGCCACATTAGGGGACTCTACTATACATTAACCCTCCTATGCAAAGATACATTCTTAGCACAGTTGTCAAAGTCAGTCGAATTTCCCATATGTGTCTGTACTGGGGCAAATCAAGTGGAAGGAATTTGTGGCTGTTTTTGACAGTTACAGCAGAATGGGGGTTAACCCTAACCCTCCTCAATCCTTCACCTGTTGGAGGACTGAGGAGTGTTAGGGTTAATGACAGTGACGGAGGGAATATAAGAGTATAATGTTATCCTCTTTGTACTCCTCTTGCTTCTTGCTCCCCTCCAGGTTTCTTTGCTCTCATCCTGAGCTTGATCATCTTCGGCGGTCTGGTCTACAAGAAGTACCCGGTCACTGTGGTCTGCGACAAGTTCCTGCCTCTCCTGACGGCGGCCCTCATCTTTTCCCTGCTGCTGAGCGTGTACCTGTACCTCAAGGCCAGAAAGGCTCCTGGACATGCCCTGGCTCCCAGCGGGAACTCAGGTAAATCCATGCAAGGAGCAAATGAAATCCTCCAAGTCATGCGTTCTTACAGTACTGGAGCCCTTAGAGTAGCAGGATTCTGTTTGCCATCAAAGGCAATTTTCAATTCACAGTTACTAGTCGTTTCGGTTCCACTGTGACTGGCAAGGTTGACCCAGATGAAATCACTAACCGACTCAAATTCACCTTTGGCAATTTGGGTTTCATGACAGCCACATTTCATATTGTTTAACGTTGATTTTGACTAACCAGTATGACATTCCAGGGTCCTCATGGTCATGAAAAGTCCTGAAAATCCCCGGGGGGGGGGGAGTTGTCCAGCAAAGTCATGGAAAATTGGGGGAGAAATCACGTCCCAGAATCCTCTTGTCAGAGTTGGCAAAAGTCATGGAAATTCAGATTATGTAAGGGTAATTTTTATAGGCCACTTTTGATGTGATGGCAGAATAAAAACAAATTTACAGGCTGCCCTCATCAGTCTATAGGAGTGGCTACAGCAGTGTTCCAGTTCATAATACAAAACTGCTTTACTCTGCAAAATGGCGTTAAATGTCACAGATACTGTTGTCTTAAAAGTACTGGAAAAGTCCTGAAATGTGGTTTTCCGATTTCTATGGAGACCCTGAAGTCCAAGTATGTATATCAGTGTTTACTATTAATACTTTTTTGCCTTCAATTCTCGTTGCGTATCTCTCCATCCTATCATCAGGCAACGTTGTCTATGATTTCTTCATGGGCCATGAGCTCAACCCTCGCATTGGAAGATTTGACTTCAAGTTCTTCTGTGAGCTCCGGCCGGGACTCATCGGTTGGGTAAGTGACCTCGCAGGCTAGCAAATTTGAATGACCCAAGGCCTTTGGAGACTTGGTCAGAGATAGGGTTTTTTGTGGGGCAGCAGGTTAGATAAGGGCAGCATTGAACCGTGGTTGTTAATGGCTCAGAATGTTTGTCCAATGTGAACAACTCTAAATGAAAGAGTTGCACAGTTACTGAACCCCCTTGAGTCAGTGGCTACTAAATGTATTCATGCATTAGCATGACAGGATGTTTATTGTTAGACCAGCTGCCGATCCCACATTCATTGAGCATTTGGGAGGGGGGGCTGTAGCTTGAAAGTGTAAACTTTTCAAGTGTTAGTTGTCCACATGTAGTTTGAATTGGTGAAAGTTTTTTTTTTCTTTTCAGATTTTTTAGTGCATCTTAAGAAAAAAAGAACTCAATTGTTCACCAGATTGTTCACGTCCATGGTGTGTATCATAAAACAAAATTTCACTTTGTGTTATTGTAAAGCTAGATTTTAACATGTGCATTATTTCCACCCATATTTTTGAAATTCGTGTAGATTTGGAAAGCTTGGTCGGTCAGAGTCGGGTTTTCAGTCTACTTTGATTGCAAAGCCTAAATAAGCTCCATCAATGATACTGATATTCTGAACTCTAAGTCTAACTGAAAGTCTGTGTTGGTCTGCCTGTCAGGTACTGATGGATCTGGCCTTTGTGGTCAAAGTGTGGACAGACTTCCCTCAGAATCCTCCCTGGCCGCTTCTCTTGCTGACCTTCTTCCAGCTTCTCTATGTTGCTGACTCCTTGGTGTACGAGGTCGGTCATTTGAGTTATTCAAGCACAAAGAAGTAAATCAAACAAAATGTAATGAAGAAAATAATTGTAATCCACGTACATATGGTTTGACTCGACAAAGGCAAGTGAAGGATGCTTATTAAAGTGATCCACCTGTATTGTTCATTTGGTTTTAATACCCGTAGTTTTGGAAACGGGTGCACCAAAGAAAACTGTAAAATAATGCAGTCTCTCCATAATACTTGTGATATGAAGAGAAGGCAGAATGAAATCTAGAAGTAGAACTTACTGTTTGTAATTGTCACAAGATAAAGAGTCATTTTATGCTTCAGGCGAAAGGAAGTAAATTTTATGTCAGAATAGCTGAAGTAACTTTTGTACATTTGCAGTACGACGATCTGACATCACCATTTCTCATTTGTGTTCACGTTTGCACCAAGTACCAATCAGCCTTTATGCATTGTCTAGTGCGCTTGGGTATACCTCACCTTTGTTCCTAGGAATTAGATATCCAAAGAACCAATCACCGTGGCCTGGAAAACCCAGTTCTATGTTAATGGTTTTTGTAAGTCTAAAAAATGACTCTGTGAATTCATAACCAACTTCTCCAAGGACAGCGTTGGCTATCCAATATCTCAACCGCCCATAAATGCTGATCCCGGGAGCAGAGCTCAATACTGCTTCTCAAAACAGTAGCTTGAGACTTGAGCCCTATAATGACTTCTATTATGACATGTTTCTGTAATATTGCACACACAGCATGCCATTCTCAGCACCATGGACATCATCCACGACGGCTTTGGGTTCATGCTGGTCTTTGGTGACCTGGTTTGGGTCCCCTTCACCTACACGCTGCAGGCTCGCTACCTGGCAGACAACAGCGGCAGCATCATGCCGGACTACTGTCTGGTGCTGACTTTCATCCTGGGAAGTAAGTGTCTGATCTCTGGACTTTTCCGCTGGCCTGGTACCAAAACAATGATTTGGGACAAACTTGGACTCGGCTGGTTGTGGACTCGGAGATCTTTGTTCAACAGGCAGTTTTAAGCATGCTAGAAACTTACCAAAGTTTAACAGCTCTTTATCATGAAGTTTCTCACAAAGCCAAACTAGCCGAAGACTCTTCCGTTTACATACATTAACATTTGACTGTTTTTGTCTTTGCACAGTTGCTGGCTACTATGTCTTCCGTTCATCAAACTCTCAGAAGAATGCTTTCAGGGAGAACCCCTTTGCTATCCAGTTTGCCAGTAAGTATGTCCCAATCAACTATTGTAATAATGAATCAGACTGATCCTCAATTCAAAAACTAAAATGCTCCTCTCTCAAATTTTAACAAAAAGTCCCTCAGGGGCACAGCATTTCCCAAAGCGTGTTTGTGATGACAGGTCGCCTAACAGCACTAAAGTCAGACATTTTTGAAAGACCGCTCTCTGTTTACATTTTGTCGCAATAAATCCACTCTGTCGAATTCCCAGCGGAATGTTAATGCTGTTTTCCCTTGTGGTGAGTATAGGTGAACATTAGACCCTTCACACATGTTACCTTTGGTGGATGCTTACTCAATATATCTCTGGTCTGACAGTTCACCCATATTGAGATCATAGAACCCACAAGTCATTCCCTGGCCAGGAAAATAAAATGACCCTCATGTCCCTTCAACATCCTCAGTTGATCCAAGCAATACTGTCCTTAGAATTCATCCAGAGTACAGTACTGTAATTTCTCAGTCTGACAAGAGCAGAAACATAATTCTGGTTAAGGACGGAAATCTACTCAAGGATTGAGGCTTTACCCTCCCATATCCTCTTGGAAATAGCAAGCGCCTCCACACTGACTTCATGTGGGTTGTGCTCTGTGACCCTGCATTCATGGAAGGCCACATCAACTGTACCCACTCAACCAACATACCGCCATGATGTATAGCGTAGACCCATATTTTTGGCTGACCGATTTGAATTTTTTCTGTTTACTCCCTCAGATTCCAGCGTCCTGATTACAGGGTCAGGCAAGCGTCTCTTGACATCCGGCTGGTGGGGATGGTTGCGTCACCCCAATTACCTGGGAGATCTCATGATGGCCCTGTCGTGGTCGCTCTGCTGCGGTGAGTGTAACGGATCCCTCACAGGAACGGTACCAATAGTTTGCAGCACTACTTGGCTGTCACTAAAAGCAGAATTCCTGTTTCAGGTTTAGAATACAAGAAGAATACAGTTGTAAAAAGAAGACAATCTTGCTTATTGAAGCATGGCGTAAAACTTGACAGAAGTCACGTATGGTTGGCTGTAAATGAATTTCTACGGTTTCCAGAGTGACTTAAGGAGATTAGAATCTCTTTAGAAAGTAATCTTTCCATTCCACTTCTCCCTTCCAGGCTTTGGCAGCATTGTTCCCTACTTCTACCCCATCTACATGCTGATCCTACTGATCCACCGTGAGAGGCGTGACTCCGCCCACTGTAGGCAGAAGTACGGCACTGTCTGGGCCAAATACTGCGAGATGGTCCCTTACCGGATCTTCCCGCGCATCTACTGAGACAGGGCAGAGAAGCCATTAGAGAAGTCATTAGTCCATGTCACCACGACTGTCCATGTGTTTATCACACTGTGTGTCACTTTATCATTGTCATTCAGGGATTTTTCACAGCAGTACGTAACTTGTGTTTTTTTAAAGGTTAATCATTCCATCTTTGCTGCAGTATCTGCTTTTATTGGGTTGATGTTTTCTAAACTGTAAAAGCAAAAAAAATTATCGAGGATAAGTGACATAGGACGTGGTATGGTAGTCTCTCCACAAGGTGTTTTTAGACTTAACTTTCCAGAAAAAAGAATTCTACTTTGCTCTGCTTCAACTTTTTTTTTATTGTTCATTTTCAACTCAGTTGATTTTTTTTGGGGGGGGTTCACGCAGTCCTCGTGGTTCTTGACATTGTGAAGTTTCTCATAGTGTGCTAATATTTGAATGGAAATTGTGCTAGGCTTTTGTAAAATGTTTACAAGATGTAAAGATGAACGTGGCTTTGTTCTTTTATGGTAATCAGTAGTTTCTCGTGATCGCTTCCACTTTCCAGGCCAAAAGGAGCGCTCCTGCTTTTGTTTTTGAAAATAATGTTTATACTTGTACACAAGAAAGAGATTGGTTAATGGCGAAACACTTTTTCGTCTGGGTTATTTCGATTTGGGGAGTGCTAAAGTTTTTGCTGGCTTTCTCATTTTTGTTTTATACGGATTGCACAGAAAAAAAAACTGCTCATCTGTTTTTTGCCGTGTTTTGCAATGTTTTATGATTTTGTTATTTGTTTACTTTAGAAGCTGTGAGGAATTTAGTTAGTGTCTTACGCTGCACATGTAGCAACAGCGGTGTTGAGCATTCAAAAGCTTGATTTACTTGCATGACGATTTCTTTGTTAAAATGTATTGATAACGGGTTTGTAGAAATCATTTTTTAGGAAATATTTGTCACTGGATGTGCCCATGTATATAAATTGTGATATATTATTGACAGTCATAGAAAGCAATGGGGACGCTAGATCCCAGAATCGTAAAGATTAAAAGGGAAGGAAGCAGTTAGGGCAAACATTGCAGATACATGTATCAAGGGCTGTGACTAATATTAAAAATACATCTTCATGAAAGAATTTATCACATAGACCGTTCTAGCATCAAAATTAAAAGAAAATAGGGAGTTTTCCTAAAGTTTGGTCTTTCTGTCCAATTGACAAAGGTACATTACAGAGTATTTCATAACCTGAGGGAATTTTTTAGTCTTAAAAATGATTTGTAAATACCTGTATCATATATTGTAGATGTTTGGTTGTCAGTGTAATGATTTCTGGTTTGAAAAAAAGGGAAGAAAATAGACAACTGTCAGAATTAGGTCAATTAGAACTGCATTTAGAGAGATATCTCAAACAGTTTTGTGAATTTTCTTTTAGAAATTACTTTAATTCTTTTGAATTCAAGTTCCTAGAAGGAACTGCGTTATATTCACCCCAAATGAAATTCACAGTTTGAATGTAAATAGAATATGAATGGTATGTACAGAGTATTTTTAAAGCGACTTCCCTCAGTTACTTCTACAGGACTTCTTGGTGAGATCTTTCTAAGATAATCCTTTGGTTTTTGTAGATTTTACACACAATTGTAATTTTGGTGTAAGCTGTGAATTTGTACAGTAGCAATCAACTGTATTTCATGTCAATTTGAATTAATTTGACCAGTGAAATTACTCTAATTTTCATTTAACAGTATTTGATTTTTTTCTTTAGAAACAAATATTTGTTTTGATTTCCGATTAATTTAAACGGTTTTGTTTGAATTTTCAACTCTCTCACATGATAGAATTTTTGTATTCATTTCAAGAGAGCATTTCTCGAGTAGTTTCATCGTTTTTCCTGTATTTCTTGCGTCGATGTACCGAGACTTTACCAAAGTGCCTACTATATCTGCGATTAGTGTTTTATCCCGATCTGAAATGTACATTAGACCGTTTTTGATATAATCATAATTATTGTATATGTAGTCGGATAGATTTTGTTTTAGTGTAGGTGAATGAAATAAAATTTGGGCGATTATAACCGGAACAGTGCCATATACATTTGTATAATACCCGATGCGGCGGTCTCAGCTGTCTCCCGGTACGTCCCAGCGCCCCCCCCCCGACGTAGCCGGACATTTCAGCACGACACGAGCACGGTCTCGTTGGTCTTCCCTGCTGAGGTGTCCGCATGACTAACTCGCACGGTCCTATAAGCGGTGCTGTTATCTTTGGTGTAGGCCTATGTACAGTACACGTGAAAGGCATTGCATGCACGGCCTGCACTGCTCAGCACGCCACTTAAACGGACGACTTTCCCGTTGTGCGCAGAGATGGCATGACGTATTTATACCATATTTAGTAAGGGGAACCGCTGAGACCGGGAGACACTGAGCTGAGACCGCCACACCGGTACGAGCGATACACAATAGTGCGCCTCCAATAGTTTGCAATGCGTTGGCCAATCACTATGCGCGGAATCTGTCGACCCAATGTGTGTTTGGAAAGGGTCGTCAGATTTCGCGCTGTGATTGATCAACGCGTTGCAAACTCTTGGCGGCGCACTTTTGTGAAACGCCCGTATTCGGCCAAGCGTTATCTCTGAGGCAGTGTCATTAATTTTAGAACGCAGTCACAGAGCAAGTGAAGAGAACGTTAAAGGTCTACTGATCCATTCCAATTTATCCTATCTATCTGTTTCCTTACAGCCAGTGCATTTTATGGGACTTCGCCTTTTTCTTCACGTCACTTCTTTAGAAGGCTATCTGACGGATAGCTCCGGAAATTCTCTTTTCTAATGACCAGATCTTGTTAAAAAAAAAAAAGATGATTTGCCTTACGAAGGATACGAGGAAGAATTTTTGAATCCACGCCGTCGATGGACTGCCCTACCCGCACATCACCCGTGTTGCTATGCTGCAACATGCTGGTATCATCCAGCAGACTGATATTAGAAAAATCTCTATTTACACAACATGTACCAGCATTTTCATCTTTTCTGTCCCTTTTTTAAAGATTCTCATATATTCGCAGAAGCTCCCTTTCAGTTGCTGGTCTGTTTGTGGTGCAATGTTTTTTAAACCGGTTGAGGTATTGGTTTTGTCGTAAAGCTCGGAAACTGGGGGCTAGTTCGGTGATTTTTTTGGCGACTTGCGGTGGATCATTTGTGGCCTCATCCAAACTACACTGTAGTTATTTGTATTTGAATAATGCAGGTAAGAAAACAAACAGTCCTGTGATCTTGTAAAAAAAACATGATTTGCCTTATGACGAATTTTTAATCCAAGCCTCCATGACAGCCCTACCGCACATCACCCGTGCAAGCCGTACATCATCATCGCGACAAAAGTGGGCGGGTTGTACTGAGATTACTAATCCACAAATGACCTGACAGAACATATGGCCTGGACTTTGGAGACACCTATCTTTACATCGAGATTACAAATAAACTGAAAAGATAATAGGCTATTCTTGTGGTGGTCTGCATTCTACATGGGCAAGGATTTGTCCACGTTCCATTTTGAGAACCAAAAGAAACAAATCCAATGTCAGTGACTTCACCTTTCCCCTGGAACGCAGGAATAGACTGCACTTTGAATCATTACAATTAGCATTGATCTCTCCGCTGCATCTTCAACGTTATTCCCAGACTAACGGGACTTCACTGTTGAATTCTACTGACAAGAGAAGGCGGCCCACCGCTGAAAACCACGGCAGCATGGCTCAAACCAACGCCAAGGTGCCCCGGACGGCTCATTATGAATTTGGAGGGCCTATAGGTAAGATCGAGGCTTTTGATTAATAAAATATTTATAGTTCAGATGAACACAGACGGAGGTTTCCGTGCTATAGCAAGAAGAGTATAAGGAGTAATATATTGAGGGAAAAAATACGTTTTTATATTTACAATGTGTAGTACTGAGCGGACCTGACGCCCGTTTAATAAATCGCAGGGAAGGTCATGTATTAATTAATAATTCGTCATGCTATCATTAATCACATTTCCTTGCACCTGTACGTTTAGCGAATAATGTCAAAAACACCTTCCCCGTTTCATTGTTTAAAAAAAAAATACAAATTACAGCAATCGTAAAGTTGACTGATTTGCTGATCTTTCATTGACTTGTGGATTTTTTCCCCAAGGCGCCTTGTTCATCATGATCAGCCTGCCTCTGTTCATATATTATCTCTACTTCGCCTGTGACAAGAACTCCTGTGCTGTCACGTTTCAACCCCCTCTCCCTAGCAGTTGGGATGATGTATTTGACTTGGATGTCTTCCTGATATTCTTGGGATGGATTGCCTTCCAGGCGGTGCTATACATGCTCCCGATTGGAAAGGTCAGTGCTGTTCTGAATAAATTTGAATAAAGAATTCTCCTCCAGTCCGTTCGTCCACAGCGTTGAAAAGCAAATTCGAGTAATTAGGGCCTATTGATACCGATAAATGAAAATAGATCGAATGAAAGTCTCATAAGGTGCAGTGCACAGATTCGATAGATGTGAAAACATCCTTCGCTGCATTTTAAAATATCATGGGCATAGATTACTCATTCCATAAATAAGCCTGCTTCAGTCATGGCGTTCAACTTCAGTTTCAGTGTGTCAATTGTGTTTTATGCACAGAAAGTCAAAGGTCTTCCCCTGAGGACTGGACGGCGGCTGCAGTACAGAATGAACGGTGAGGGCGTGTTTCGACGCAAGCGGTTTAAAAATCTCTGTGCATGTGCGTGACTAGTTGAAAGGTGGTCGGTGGGATTTATCACTGGAAAAAAACAGAAGATTGTGTTCCTTGGAATGGTTCGGTTGATTACAAGGCTCCATAAATTCATGCCGGAATGCGAGCGACTTTTCAGAAAGAGTATCATCTTACTCCTGCAGGTCTGTTGGCGTTCGTGATTAGCATGGTGCTATTCGCTGCCCTCGTCTATTTTCGGTACCCAGTCACCATTCTGTATGACAAGTTCCTACCGTTTATTACGTCTTCTCTCATCTTCTCCGCGATTCTCAGTGTCTTCGTCTACATCAAGTCTCTTGCTGCTCCTAACCACGCCCTCGCCGAAGGAGGAAACTCAGGTCTCTGCCACTTTCGACCTTTTTTCGTAGTTTCCCCTGAAACTTCTTCTCGTAATAATGTAGTATGTTTTCGAACCCCATAATAAATCTTAGTATATAGGTATATATAACGTGGTTAATTCTGTGCTGCTGAGACGGATTGTAAACTGCCAAGTACAGCGCACATGTAGGCCTATTTACAATCTTTGTCTTATGTGCGGTTACTGTCTCGTCTCCTGTCACCTCAAATTGATATTTCAGGCAATGTCATTTATGATTTCTTCATTGGACACGAACTGAATCCAAGACTGGGGAACTTTGACATCAAGATATTCTGTGAACTTCGACCGGGACTCATCGGTTGGGTAAACACAGTTGTTTGATTTAGTCAATCATATTTACTACACTGAGTAACTTGTCGGTTAAAGGCTGCCGTGCGTTGGATCCTATGTGGTTCACATGGGCATTTTTGCTTTTCGGCAACGGATACTACTAGCTTACATTGGGCCAGTGTGAAATAACGAAGCCATAGCCGGAAGATGATTTGTTTTTGACGGGGTGTTTTTACAAAATTTATACTGGTGAATAGTCTTGCCGAACGAGGCCTAATATGTTTCAAATTGCGACGTTTTCAATTTAAGTAGGCCCAGTTCTTGAAAGAAAGTCGTTGTTTCCTCTATGCAATCGCGCTATCGGACCTGTGTAAGCATTTTGACAGAAATACGGGGTTTCGCCGCAGAAGTGTTGTGTCTCATGGATACTCTGATTCACGTCTGTGCTAATATCAAAAAATGAAATTAACCGTAAGAGTTTTGCTTGATCTGAAGGTTCTGATCGATCTTGCATTCGTGGTGAAAGCCTGGACCGACTTTCCGGACAATCCACCTTGGTGTCTGTTAGCTGTGACCTTCTCACAGGTTCTGTATGTCGCTGATTCACTATGGTTTGAGGTAGGAGTTCATCACCATCAAACCTATCCGCTCCGAAATTAAGCAAGTCTCTCCATCTTCACGAGAGTCTCACCGACTCATTTCAGGCTACAGATCTCTGATATCCTGCATAATTTCTCTCAAGGGTGGATCCAGAACCCAACTTTCGGTGGGGGCAAATTCTCTTTTGGGGTCAAAATGGGGGCGGGGTACATGTAGGAAACACCATGGCCTTTATGAGGAGTGATGCTAAACTTGGAGATTTTTTATACTCAGGAAAGGAAGAGAAATGAACTGGTCCGCCAAATTGCTTTTCCTTATATTCAATATAATGCAAAAGGCAAAAAAGCAATTCCCCTAACCCTTTTTAGGGGAGGAAAGTCTGTCTGTTCGCCTACCCCCCCATCCGCCATTGATCTCTGATTGCTGAAATGTGTGTTTTGCATTCTGTGCTTACATTTTGCTCTTGATTAGGAATGCATCTTGAGCACCATGGACATCATTCACGACGGCTTCGGATTTATGCTGGCTTTCGGTGATCTTGCATGGGTTCCTTTCACCTACACACTACAGGCTCGTTACCTAGTGGATCACCCAGAGAAGACTATGCCCAGTTACTGTGTTCTGACAGTTGTTGCCTTAGGATGTAAGCATTAAAATATAAAACATGAAACCGAAATGATTACCGGTACAATTCAGATTTTAATGAAGTTCTTGTGAATCAGATACCAATTCTGATTGTTACTGCATAAAGCGCATTTACCAATCTGTATTTTCAGATTCCATTCGTTTTCATGAAGTTGTCCTAAAACTGCTCCAAAATTAGATTTAAAATTGTTATGCGAATGCAAAAGCGAAAAGGGTTTGGCGTCACGAAACGTTTGCAGCAAAGTCTACTTTATTTGTAATGTGTTGAACTTGTGCAAAATGGTAGCCCAAACATTTCCATCTGACGTCAACAAATTGCATTCGTGTTCGCTTTCGCACGATATATGAACCAGACTTCACGTTTATATGATCGTACATTCATTAAAGCGTATAAAGCTGTTTACATATAAAATGATTTTATTTGACTCAATCACTTTTCAGTTCTGGGGTACTACATTTTCCGTGCTTCCAATTCCCAGAAGAACGCCTTCAGGCAAAACCCCAACGGAGACAGCGTTAAGCGTAAGTGTCGAAGTGAAATGCAGAAAAACATGTTTTGACGACATATTTTTCACTTACTTCCGAACAGGTATCTCGTTAAAGCGACGCTCTTTAGTTGACATTAGACAATACCTGCATAACTCCCTCCCCGTCATCTGATTGGTGGATCGTTGACATCTCACTGAATTATTCGTTCTATTTCACGGTACACGTTGATTAGGACTGGTTCCCGCCGCCATTTCATAATATTTAATTCCCAGTAAGAAAGAGGAAAATAATTTGGGGATAGGAACCAGTCTAACATATTGCGGGTACTATGGGTCGTGCATGGGACACAAATCTGTTTCACAAAATGAAGGACGTTCAACACGACGACCAAAGTCACCAAACAAATAATGCATGTTTCACATTTGTAGAGTGGTAAAAATAATTATTTTCACCCGTTGACAGTTGAAATCTTTCATTTCACTCGCTTTGCGTCGTGGAATCGAACATTCCATCTGTCACCTCATGAAATTATTTTTGTCATTGCACTCATAAATATTCATTGTTTGTTTAAGTTCGCCAGGACGATTGGAATAGTTTGGTACTCATGTAAAGAAACCAGAGGCACGAATACCACGGAAAGGTTGAGCCATGTTTATTTTCAAGTTGTCTATAGTTAGATATCACATCCCAACAAACTGCACACGAAGAAAAGAAACAGGCAAAAATCCTCATCTCATTTGTCCCTTTATTTTTCCTCGGCTTGCTTCTTCTTCCAGATCTACAGACCATTCCTACAGCTACCGGAAAGCGACTGTTGGTGTCCGGTTGGTGGGGGTTCGTCCAGCATCCCAACTACCTTGGTGATCTCATTCTGGCTTTGTCATGGTCCCTGTACTGCGGTGAGTTATGAAACCAATTTTCGTCTTTCTTTCTGAAATTCGACTGGGCAAAGAACATGATTCTTTTATTCATCTTTTTGGGGATGTGATTTTCACAAAATTTCAGGAATTTTTGAATTTGTAAAACATTTCGTTTTGGGAGATTTGTGGCAAAAAGAAATATTTCAGGAAATTTATTTTTAAAACAAATTATCAAAAAGTAAGGAAATTTTAAACAAAACTAATGATGGAATAACTTTATTGACAAATTAGAAAAAAGTAATTTCTAAATGGAGAGTTTTGCAGAGAGCTTTTGGGGACAAAATATGCACCAAGAATTTAATCATATATACACAATAAAGTTGGTAGAGACGTGTTTGTGTGGAATAGTCAAGTAAATGAAGTAAATATGTGTGAATGTTGAAAATCCCTAATAGTCTTCCATGTCATCCTCATCCCCAGGGTTTGACAGCATTATCCCGTATTTCTACCCCATCTATTTCACCGTTCTCCTAGTGCACCGATCTCTGCGCGACTCGGCAATGTGTAAGGAGAAGTATGGCACGGCATGGGATCGCTACTGCCAGAAAGTACCCAGTAGAATATTCCCTTATATATTCTAATTTAGCTGCTACTGAGGAATAAGAAACCACCCTTTTCACAAAACCTTCTGATTACATTAACGCCAGTCATCGATATGATACTCTCAAGACGGTGACTACAACAGTAGGGTCTATTAATATAATGTAGCAGCATGTAGAGATTTACACAGGGTGATTTCTCCCAAGTTGGTCTTGTTTACATTCGTAGCATTACTCTAACAAATCTCCATTTAAATGGAAAATCTGAATTTTGCGCTGGTATTAGAAGGCTCGTCAGATTAAAGATATCCATCGTTTTGTAACAACATATCAAATGTTCTTTCATGCGTTATTTTTGAGTGTGAGATAAAATATGAAAACACCATGGATGGGACGACTACATATATGATTTTTTTTATAAAGTTCGCGAAGTGAACGTTAATCGGTTAGCGTATAAACCACCACTTTTAAGAAACTTGAAATTCTCAAATCGATCTTTCAACGGCTGCCAAAAGTAGAATGTCGTTTACTGTTGTGAAATGTTCAAGGATTCATTGACACTAAAGTTGTCAGAAATGTTAATATTTTGTTCAAGACCTACATTGACAATCTTTGCAATGGAATTATTTTATTCGTTTGACCTGGCATTTGAAAACTGGTAGGCCCATATCATCCATGAAATGATTTTTTTTATGTTAACGCAGATTTCTGATATATTGTCTTTCGAGATGATTAATGTTCATCAATTTCTCACTCGGGATACAAAACCTCGACATTTCTATATTTGTGTCTGTGATTGTACTAAAATAAAGTTTACGGGAGCTCACGGAGGCAAAATTCAAATAAAGTTGTAAAGGAGGTTTCTGTCGTCTGACGCTTTCGAGCTGAAGCCCCGACTATACCTAAAAATAAAATCTTCAAAGCTCGAGATATTTGTAGAGTGGGCCTGTTATGTTGATGCAAAGGCAAACAATCAGCTGTGTCTGGTGACGTCATTCACTCTCACCCACACGGTCCACAGAGGACAGTACATCTCCCCTTTTGTTACCTTCCTCGATTGTTATGCGTGCATGGAACACCCAAAGAATACACCTAGCCCGCCGCCCCATTGATATGCAAAAACAGAGCAAAATTAGTCGTCAGAAATCACCCACCTGAGTCAGGAGAGGGCAATATCACCGCGCAATAACATATATTGCATTGTACAAAATGTCGCCGTGAATCACAGGCCAGACTGGTATATGGCTGCATCGTGACTCATTCAGGGTTAACTACGGGAGCGGTCGTTTAAGTACTTGCCCGGCAATTCGAAGGATTATTCTGTAACTAGAACTTCAAGTAAAAGCGTGTGGAATATAAACGTCAGCTGGTCTGACGGAGGTGAGGAGCGCCAACTTGAAAGTGGAAACAGTTTTGTACATGATTTTACGGGCTTGATGTTACGAAGCCATCGACATTTAACAATACAAAGACAACAACGAAGGTGAGTATCCATCACGTGATAAATACTATTGCAAAATCCACACTCGACGGCGGTTGTACAGGATGAAGAGTGGGTTAACTCCACTTTTTAAACAACTTTTTGCCGTTTGAGAAGTCGGGTTTTCTGAGCACCCCGAACGTTCGCTTTGGACGTTTCTACTGTGGTACTGTTACACTCGGCAAGGTCCACACGTCTGGCTGTAAATACTGAGGAAAATTTCTTGTTATATAACTGGCATTTTTTTTCGTAGAATTTCTATCATTACAACCTTTTTTGGGGGGGGGATTATATATTGGACCAACACAATTTTCGAGTGTTTCCCAAAAGTCAACAGGTGTCCCTTTTCAAACTTGTTCGTGACAGTTGAGAGTTGTGATGGTCCGATCAAACCTTTTCCCATTTTTGTTAAAAAGTCGGAATTGTGTGATCTTTAATTCGGGAACAAAATAATTCTGATATAAAACGTCGTTCGGCGACATCTGGAATGTCTGGCAAGCGCGAGGAATATGTTGGATCATATCGCCACTTTTCCATCTCATCTCAGTAAACGGAAGTAGTTGCAAAGTAGTAGTGGGACCGCAATGGAAATAAGTTATTTTAACTTTTTGCAATCTCCCTACGATTTCTACTTATTAGGAATCGCTGACTTTGCTTTCTTCCAATTGCCTTTCTTTATTTTATTATTGTAATAATATTTTATAATAGTGAAGAAATCAAATAAAATCAAAAACTTGAAAAGACATGAATCTTGGACTGAGAAACGTTTTGAAATACAACCAGGTTTCAGAATTACAGTTTTCTCTGAGCTTGAAATTTTAATTGAGGATTATCATTTTCCATCGCTTTGTGTTAATGTCGAGACGAGGACTTCATACTCAAGAAAGTAATTAAACTGAATCAAATGGAATGGAATAAAATAGAATTGAATTAAATGGTTTAATACAAAAAGGAATCGCAGCAATGTGCCGAATTAAGACTAATCAATAATAAAAGACATAATAATCAAATTAGTATACATGTTACACTTTCTTGCAAATTAACTTATTTCTGATAAAAAATGGCGTGCTATAAATACAAGATAGGCATGGTATAGACACATTTACCAGCTTTGATTTCATGTGAATCCGACTTGCCTGAATAAACTGAAATTCGTTATTAATCTATACCGGTACGTTTATGACATTCATTTGTGCGTGCCGTTCATTTACATGCATACAGTGTCGTACGGAAGTGGTCGACAAGACGATTATATCACTGACACCCAAAATCACCTGCAGATCGTTCTGGGCAATTTTTTACTATGTTGAACATACTGTGCTTCAATATTCGCGATAGATTCCGTCTAGATTTTGGATGCATAACATTGTCACGTCTTCCAACAGACAAACCGTGGAGTATTTTCTCCACCCGTGTAACCATTTGTATGGTTCAATTTCACTGGACATAAAGTAACTGTAATTTTGAGTGGAGCTACTGCATATGCTTAAGCTATGTTTCACTGATGAACTACATTGAAATTTAATCAGCCCTTGAAAAATTGTCAGGATGGAGTATTCTTGAGTGAACATTAGTCACCGAGAAAATGGTGCCAGGCTCATGGGTGTTGTTCTACTTCATCTTTTAAAAATACAATAATAACTACAGTTTTTATTGGAAACAGTCATTCGACATTAGGAATAATCTCAAAATTCAGCTTGAATTCATTAATATTTCAAGGACTAAAGTACGTCCGTGTTTTCACTGGTTTTAATGTTCAAAACAGCTGTGCTGTCGTGCATGTATTTTGTTGTGATAGGCCTATGTGATGACGACTCGTCTCTCGTTAATCACAGAAAAACACCTGCCTCGACATTCAGTCGTTAGTGCGAACGGCGTAAGGCAATGCAGAAATTTTTATCCGTAAACGCAGAGATTGACTATATAAGAACTTGTACGTAGGCCCTGAAAACGTGGATCTTTCATGAGATATTTTTCTTTCCACTGAGAGTTAAAACGTGAGGAAAAAGCAGGCGTGTGTAGTGGGAATTTGCCTATAGGCCTCCCGGTTGCGAAACACGACAAAAATAACAATAACAATATTGTTTACTTGTACATTATGTGTTTATCTGTTTTGAGCATCCTGATTTTGTATAGTTACGATCCATTTTAGCCATCCCGATTTAGCATCTATTTCATATCTCTGTCCAGATGTTACTTTTATCAGCTTCCCAATTTTGCTGTTGAAATCTCAAGCCCATTGTATTCTGCCGTTCATTCTGTTCGCTACCCCCTTAGCTACTTCAAAAATACACCAAACGTGTTTTTTTTAATGAAATACAATAATATACACCTATACAGGTGTGGGTTCTTAGACCAAGGTCCCATCTAAAAGGATTAAAAACCGCCCGAACTACGCTCAAAAAGGCGCTTGTAGAGAGGGTTTAAACACGTTAACCCACTACATGTTTTTGTGATGCGTTTAGGAATGTGTTTAAGCGCTTAGCATTTAAACACATTCCTGGCACATTTCAATAAACATGTCATGGTTAAACGTGTAGAAATAGTGGGTACAGAAAAGTGTTTGAACTCTGATCGTTGTTTTTACAATGTGAAGCGTCCACAAAGAAATTACTGTAGAGGGCGGCTATTTGCTAATATTGAGCACAATTATGTAGCCCGTGGCAAAAGCTTTCGTAATTTTTAAAACTTATCATAAGGGTGAATATTTTCCCTCCAGAACAGTGTGGAGTAAATCAATTCCACATTACCAGTCACGGAAGCCACATAAGGAGCCAGTAATTAAAAATTCTTTATAAATTCCTCTTTCTTTAGGCTCAAAGTTCAAACTTTGAATAAAAGAATTTATTCACTGAAAAACGCTCGCCCATGTTTCTGAAGAAACTTTCCATGCATCCTTTAAAAAAAGAGGATTTTGATAAGTTGTAGATCACATTCGATGGCGACGATTACTGGAGGGAAAGAAAGTGATAGGTCTTTCGATTAATTTGGCAACCATGCATCGGAAGAGTAGCATGCTCAGTTGCAGGCGGGGCGTCGTCATTGACTCACCGCGAATGTTGCCGAAGTTTTATTACACAACGTGAACACTGAAGACAGGAGTCCGGGGAGGGGGGGTCAGCTCGTGATCAGAATGGTCGTCATATTTTCGTGTGGGTGTCACACGTAACGGGTTTGCTCAGGCGTCTCTGCTGTTTTTCTTTTCCCTTTTTCGTCTTACAGACAATCGCTCTATTTATCATTGACTGCTCTGCCTGTTGTCTGTTTAAAATGTTCCTTTTTTTACTTTCAGAAAAAGATGTACCATCAACTTTTGATCATCATCATTGCTACCATCACACATCGAACATGCGGTGAGTTACAAGATCATAAAATTTTACGATAGTCACAGCGCTCCATTAATGTCTCTAAAAGGTGCCATTTTGGAGTCTGATTTTAAAGCTGTGAAAGTGGCTAAGGATATGCTTGATATCATGGTGGTCAAAGACGAAGTTTAGTCCAAGTTTCAACTAGTTTTTAACTTTGTGCATTGCCATTTGCATGGTGAAGGTGATTCCAGGATTTCAAAGAATTGTTTTGGGTACAATTTCGTGGAGGAGCATTTGCATAGTTCAAAAAGATGTATAAGCGTTTTGTTCACTTGCGTTCTGAAACATGATGTCACATCATAATGTGGCTTGGATAAAAACATGGAAAACAACCAATTTGTGGTAACTCGTCTTTGTTTTTGGCAGCGACCTTTTGCTCGCAAGATCCGTGCCAGAATGGAGGAACATGCTACACAGGTTTAAATTCGTACGTCTGCGTTTGTCCAAGTAGATATTCTGGCTCAAACTGCGAAACGTTTCTGGATGATTGTAAGTATCTGGAAAATGTCTTTTAATTACAGAATTTCTGCACTCTGGAAACAACGTTTTGTGTCTGTGAATCGAAACTATTAGGCTTATTTTTTTCTGGTTGTCCTATATATTTTTTGTTTCTAAAGGCACACACCACACAGTCACGGTCACAGCCCACATTCCCATTTATATTATCGAGGAAATGTTATTATAATTGCAACAAAACAATATTCAACCCCCTAAGCTTGCTAAGCTAAAGGTTTCATGGTCTGGCGTGAACAAAATATTTTCAGTGATAAGGACTATACTCAATCATTGTCGTCCGATTGAACGATTCGCCTTTAAGATTCGCGCGGTACCACCGCATTATGAAAAACAGACGGTATCTTTGTAAAATGGACGTTCCATTCCGACCACTGGCAGTTGGTTCAACGGAGGATTTATTTCTCGGTTTTTTAACATTGATGTTCGGTGTAAATCAGCAAGGATTTACTCAGTTGATGCAGGGATAAGGCATTGCGCTGAACACTAAATGTTCACGTTCGTTCTATGGAATGATTTATTTCATCCTGTGACAGAAATGGAACATTCCATTTGTACTGTTACTTTTAGAAAATCAGATTCACGGTTATAGACTTGAATGGATTGTCAGTGTGATGGAAACTTTGAACATAACATGTAACCGTACCTCGATGCCTTCCTCCAAGTCTGCTTAGTTCATCCCCAACATGAGAATGGATCTTGTTTAATTTAAAAAAAAACTTGTTCACTGACTTGAGCTGAGCACAAGATCAGATCTGAGCCTTTGCAAGCTATGCACTAAGTTCTGTACAAGATCTATTCAGGTACTCGTGCAATGTGCGCAAGGATAGGCCTTATCTTCACTGAAGCCAGGGTGGCAATTTTCATTGGGGCTGTGTGAAATCAGAGTTTTTTGTTGTCGCGTTTAAATAAAGACAAACATCCTCTAGGATCTTTGTCATAGAGGTTTGTCCACGTGATGATACATGACGTCATTGGCAAAAGGTCACTTCAAAAAGAGTACCGTGTCCGTGGAGGTGCGTGCATTTTCGAATCTGTTTGCAGTTTCGTGTAGGCTAGAATGTCGCGTCGAGAGACTTCGAAGGCGTGCGCTTCCCCGCCCACCTGTTGTTTATACAAAAATCTCGTGATTGAAAAACTATATAAAAAAAAAACCCAAAACTTGCTGCTCGCTTTGAAATAACATGTGTTGATACCGTGTGTTGAACTTTCTTCCTTTTTTTCTTCCCTCAGGCCTGAAGTTTGGGCAAACTGTTTTTTTTGTTTTTTTTTTCAGAACGAGAGCTACTGCACTAAATTTACAGAATCAAAGCACTGTGCACGAACAAAGAACTGTAATTGTTGAGGGTTAGGCCTACTTGGTAGAACAAAAGTTTAACAGGAAATATAAAAACACACTGTAACTCTATCATCAGATTAAAGGTTAGGAACTTATTGGATCCAGTCTGGCAAATTGCTCGGCCCGGCCCCGGCTAACTTGACAGAAAGATGTGATTGTGACCAATACACCTTGGGAGAAATTTGGTTGTGTTTAGATAAAGCATGTACTGTGACTGATAGCCATTTGGGACTTTATTACACATTTGCATTTAAACCAGTTTCAGAGCTTCCCCCCCCCAAGAAATCCATAACAATAAAACTTGGCAATTGGCTGAAAAACAGACACTATTGTGGAAGGATCTAATAATGTAATTTTGTTATTTTCACATCGTATTTAGCTGATTATAGCATAACTCCTTGTACATCAAGCACATGTTCCAATGGTGGAATTTGCTACACTGGCCCAAATGGTTCATTTTTCTGCAAGTGTGCCACAGGCTTCAGGGGCACCAACTGTGAAATAACAGAGGACACTGGTGTCACCTCTACTGGTAAGTTTGAATATTTCAGTCATATTTTTGCAAGATAATCACTTCACCTGAAGATCTCTGTAGTGATCACATTGCAAGTGATTTTCCTAAAAATACACAAAATGAACGAGTGTCCACTTGAAAAATGTGGTTCAGCTTTCAACAGAAAATACTGCACCAGTACTAAAAGTGCAATAGATGCACAACCTTTGTTTATTTTATTTGCACATGACACACATAATATTATGAAAATCAACTGTTTCTGTCAATTCCTTTTAATTTTATTCTCAATTGAAAAATGATTGAAGCTTTGTCATGGGAATTGATTCTAGAAATAAGATTGTCTTTCTGCTTTTCTGTTTTTCTAAGCTGTGGGCCAACATATACATGTAAATATATAACAGAAAGTCACGTACATGTAAAAGTGAATGACAAAACAACATAGATCATTTCTTTGGAAATCTTGCACAAAACAGAGAGGGCTTTGAAGGTGCACTAAAACACTTTTTAAAATCATTTGTTGAGATTAGCAGAAACCTTTCTACCTTCAAAACGGTACCCAGCATACTGCTTTTGGAACAGAAAACGGCAAAGAAGACTTGAAACTCGGGAACACTGAACATTGATTCTGAAATTAAGTCCGTTATTTCTCTTCCACTGCTGTATTTTGCATTCAGCCACGCCCATTGTAACACACTGTACACCAACTACCTGCTACAACGGGGGCACCTGCTACGTTGGAGCGTCAACCAACTCTTTCCTCTGTGTTTGTCCCAGTGGATACACTGGCTCCCGCTGCAACAGGGTGGCAACCACAGTTCCACCCTATGCACTCGGTAAGCAACCATTCTTTCATAATAACAGTGATAACAATCATTTTTCTTATGTAATTACTTAGATAATTTGGTAAGTGCTGTGTGTGGGAATTCGTGAGAAAGAATTTTCACAAGTTTGCGATGTTTGAACTCCAATCCACAACCAAGATTGGGGAGGGGTATTTAATCATAACCCAATGTCAATGTTGCAACCACTCAACTACCTTTATCAGCTGTTTGTAATATTATAGCAGAAGGAGCTGTGATGAATGCCCATTGATGGTTAATATCTGCATTATATCAGGCTGGAGACTGTAAGTTCAAGTCTCACCTGAGGCTTGTGAGATTTTCCCTTCCAATGTACCAACTGATGGTTGTTTTGTGTAATCGCAGTCTATTGCAGTTCCAATCCGTGCAACAATGGGGGGACATGCTACACAGGACAGTCTGGTTACATCTGCCGATGTCCACCTGGGCTAACCGGACAGCACTGTGAGACACCATGTAAGACATGAAATACAACATTGGAGATATGTAAATTTATGTAAATTATATGTAAATTAGCCAGCAACTGCAAAGCCACTGATTTGCTGCTTCAGCGAGAAACAAAAAGTATCAACTTCTTTACCCAAGTCTAAAGAAATTTTGGAATAAAGGTGTTAACTATAATTATATTTTAATTGTATTTTAAAAATGAACTGATTACAGGCTCCAAATGCTCTGTGATCACATACCACTTTCAGAGGAATGCGTTTCTCTAAATTTTGGCACTTAAAAAAAAATGTTTTGTTCTCCGGGCAACTTTCAGCTTTGTGTGGCTCCAACCCCTGCCATAATGGCGGGGCATGTTTTACCGGCGAATCCAGCTACAGGTGTGTCTGCCCCAACAATTTCACAGGACCCGATTGTGAGACACCAGGTAAATTGTAAAATCTTCACAATTAGTATTACTTTGGAAACTGTCAAAATTATATCAGGACCAGCATTTTTTAAAATCAAAATTAAGTGTAGTAATATTGTGTCATTTTTTTGTATTTTATCAAATTCATTCACTTAACAAACTTGGTTGGTTTTCACAGCAAACAAAAAGAAAAATTGTTTACTTGTGTATCCTGATGAACAGTGGCAAAGCATAAATTCAGTACTTCCACAAAGATTGAAATGAGAAAAAAAGAAACAATTCTAATTGTGGATTATATTTCTACTGAACTTTTTTTCACACACAGTTGTTTGCTCCATGAGCCAACCATGCCTGAATGGAGGCTCATGTGACTTGATGCAGATAGACGGAGGGTTGAATGCAACCCTTTGTACTTGCCCGGAGGCCTACCGAGGACCCTACTGTGAAACACTTGGTAAGTTCACTGACATTACAATTAACCAGTTGCAACAAATCTAGAGGGTTTGGGATGGTTGAGAATGCTGTGCTCTGAAACCTTTGATATGACTTACCATAGCAAAGTTTCAGTCAGAGTAACTTCCTCACAGTGGCGTAACTAGGGTGCTACAACTGAGGGGGCTCCTGGGGTGCACAATTTTTTTTCAGGGGCACTGAAAATAATTGAACTAGGTATATATATTTTTTGTCCATTTCCAAATTTCAAATAGGGGGGCACCCGGGGGGGTACAGGCCTCTGTTGGGGTACAGGCCTCTGTTGGGGTACAGGCCTCTGTTGGGGTACAGGCCTCTGTTGGGGTACAGGCCTCTGTTGGGGGCACGTGCCCCCCATGCCCTCCCCTGTAGTTACGCCGCTGCTTCCTCAGTCAATGCGGTTAATTCCTCATTAACCCGCTTGCCGAGTAAAAAAATGCAGCTTCAAGAAATCTGATGGCGTGATTGTTTGACCGTTTCTCAGCAAGTTGTATCGATATTCCCTGTGAGAATGGCGGAACTTGCATCCCTGCTGGAGGCAACTCAACAGACATGATATGTAGCTGTACAAGGGATTTCTATGGTATTCGATGTCAGCGTCAAGCTGGTGAGTTTGACAGTGATGAGGTTATACAGAAGTTTTAAAGCTTAGCTGCAATGAACTTTTCGCAGACACAGTTTTTCTGTAACGTTGTACCCTTCTTCGGTATATAACAACTTGGTACAGTCCTTTTTGGTTAAATGCATTGAAAAGTGCTTTTTTATAACATTTAGAGGTATATGAGCTTATCAGGACAACTGAGAGTGCTATTGCTGTGATGTCATCCAGGGAAGATATAGTTCATTGCTTAGATTTTTCTGTTTAAATGTTGAACCCAGAATATTTTTCCTGGAAGCATTTCTGGGAAAGGGATCGGTGCTTGCTTATTGCTATGCACCTAAACAACAATGACTTAGCACAGAGGAGAAATTTAGTCCAGCAAAATCTACAAAAATGTGGGACTTTATTTTACAAACCAATGTAACACCAAGGCTTTCTTCCTGGAATGTTATCACAGTTTTGCTCATGAATATGGAAATAATCATTAGCATAAAACTATAAAGGCAGCAAAATACCATTGAAATAGTGAATCAAACATTGAAAAAAAGTGACCTGAGGCACAAAGGTGAATTTTGAAGGTTTGTATTCAAACCAAATGATTACAACTACCCTTTTATACCTGGGTGCCAATCAGAGTGGATGGGCTGGTAATCGACAGCACACGTACACGTAAGCTGTATTCGCATGGGCTGCTCATGATACTGGGTCTCATGGGTGAATGAAATGTTGTGTACGCAATAAGACTGGTTCATACTTCAGGGAAATGTATAAGAGAAGTGAATTTGACATTACCAAGTATTTGCAGCAAAATTCACTCGAACTGAAATGTGTTCAACTTGTGCAAATTTGCAGCCCAAAAATATGAGCTGATGTGGCAATTTAGCATTTGTGTTTACTTTTGTGACAAATCTGAACCGACATTTACCCTTGCGTCACATGGCATGAACGGAAAACAATTACCTTTTACCATCTTGAAATAACGATGGGCATGCTTGTACCTATATACCAACAAGTTGCATGGGTCTTGGGGAGAGGGTTAAACAACGGCGTGCTTGATGAAAAAAGAACCGATTCCTTTGTAGATATTTGCAGCTCCAAGAGTCCTTGCTTGAATGGTGGAACCTGTTTCACTTCAAGTACGAACCGAACAGCATATGTTTGTGCTTGTCCTCATGGCTATGAAGGGCACGTATGTCAACATTCAAGTAAGTTTCTGTTGTACTCCAGAAAGTTACAGTTTTATTTGATATTTGTTTTGCTCTCTAATTTACAAAAAATCTTTAGTTTAGAGTTTTATTTCCACGCAAAATTGCCCCTGAAGTTTCAATTGTATTTGCTAGTGAGAAAGTGTTGTTTGCCCTCCTGATCATCTTTTGAGCTATTAAAATTTCAGTTCAGTTTTCATCTGGTCTGTTGTTGTTTGTGATTTTTCCATTAGATCCTTGTGCGAATAACCCCTGCCAAAACGGTGGGGCCTGCTCACGTCCCTCTGACCCAACCAGCGATATGGTGGTGTGCCAGTGCAGAAATGGCTTTGTGGGTTTTCGGTGTGAAATAGAGGACACTGGTAAGTGTTTAGCCAGTCAAAGTTTTCATGAAAGGACTGAATCATAACGGAATAGTATTAGGCATCAGTGAACCGTTTTAGAAGCATTACTTGTACAAAGATGATCCTCCACCTTCTGAAAACTGTTGAAAACAAAAGCCAGATGAGCACTGTGATACTTTCCTGGAGTGCATGTCCAAGTTCAAAAATGGCCAATCGGTGGCTCACAAATTTTTCACTCTTCCGTATAGAAACACCGCAGTCAAAGTTTGTAAAGTCTGAACCACGTTATTAATAAGACCGCTATTTTTCTCTTATAAGGCATTGGGGCGTGTGTGACAGGAGCTTGTATGAATGGAGGTACTTGCATTCCTTCCCCCTTTGCTGAGGGTGGTCTTACATGCCTATGCCCTGCCTCCCACACGGGCAGTCGTTGTGAACAGCAGAGTAAGTCTTAGCTTTCGTAAAAGGGGTTGATTGTGGTTGAAGAATCGAGAAGAATGTGGTCAAAATTTATGAATTGTTCACTTAAATAAAGCTCACCTTTGGCTTTAAGGAGTATTCCACACAGTGTGGTTGTTGCTGCATATCACATTTCGGAAGTTGATTAAAACCCACTTGGTATTACATCTGGATTTGATGAACATAGGTGTCACAAGGGGATGGCAAGTGAGACACGTGCTCCTTGCACTTCAAAATAGGAAAGAAATATTCGAAAAAATGAAAGAAAAAGGAAAGAAACAGAACCCTCCTCCAATAGATCTTTAATATTCTGCCGTGGTTCTCAGTACCCTTAGCCTGTGGTAGCAACCCGTGCATGAATGAAGCCACCTGCAATGATGTAGGAGATGGAAACTACCAATGTACATGTTTGGAAGGCTACACCGGGCGTAGGTGTGAAGTTATCGGTAAGTCTGTTCTTTCAGTTAGTGGCATATACCATCTCCTCAACATTCCTATAACCATCAAGTAAAATCCTTGAACCAGGTGTCACAAAACTGAATCAGCTCAGGATTTATCAAGTAAGAAACATGCCCCATGCCCAAGATAGAGAGTTAGCCCCCAAACCACACATTTTGTAAGGGTGAGCAGTGACATAACATGCAAATGGTCCTCACACCAATTAGTGCAGAAAGGACTCGGACGCAGTCTGCGACCAGTTCCCACAAAATGAGTCATTAAGCTCATTCATTTTTATCGGATGTCTAGCATGTATATTTGTTGAGAGCTTCTGTGGATTTTGGTTATTTTATCAAATTTGATTAAATGCCTGTATTAACCCAGAAGTTCTTGTGACTTCTTTTTTTCGTCTTGGATTTACTATGTTGGATTGGTTCAAAGGTGTACTTCTGCAAATTGACAAGTTGGTACGTGTGTCGTGATCATTTTGAAATAGTGTTTCTTGTATTACTTGAAATGTCAGGTCCTTGCGTGTCATCCCCGTGCATGAATGGAGGACTCTGCGTTGAGGATGTCTACAATCCAGGGAACTTTGTGTGTCATTGCCGCAACCAATACACAGGAACTACATGTACCATACCCCCCCAAGAAGGTGAGCTATATCTGATTTGGAGAAAGAAAGAACTAGGAACTTAACTTTTTGGCTTTTGGCTGGATCATTTTTGCCACCGACCAGCACCCCAAATAGATATTGTGCAGCAGAATAAGTTTCAAAGTTGGGGGGGGGGCAGTCGTGTGACCATCAGGTATCATCCGTTAATAGACCGATCCAGTAAACCCCACCCTATTGTAGGACCGGCCAAAAGTGGGTGGGGACCAAGTCCGTCCATTGAAAAAGTGGGGAGTCCACTGCTCCCCCTTCCTCCACCAATGATATTGTGTCCATGCAGCTTGGATTTCCAGGGGGGTTACTTCCTCATTGGTTATTTCAGTGGTGGTGGTCTGAAATTTAGCAGGTTTCCTCGCAATTCAACCATATTTGGTTCAAACAGAAAATTACCTGAAGACCAATATAACCAGTGGAAAAGTGAAGCAGAGACAAAACTATTAAAAATGCAGGTGCAAATGCAAAATCATTTAGCCTAAGGATTTTTAACAAGCTCAAACATGCAATTTAGCAAGAATTCTTTCTTACCAAAACTTTGTGGAAGATTTCCAAACTGATGTCACCTTGCAGAAAGTGTGATGTTGTGTGAAATGACGCAAATTGAATATTGTATTTTGTAAGCTTTGATTTTTTACTGTTCGGAAACAACTTTTAATTCTCCATCAATTGTACCCACAGATCCATGCAATTCCTCCCCTTGCCAGAACAGCGGCGAGTGTGTACCAACCAACAATGGGACCAGCTACCGCTGTGACTGCCCAGCAGACTTTGTTGGTGTTAACTGTGACATCCCAGGTAAAAGACACCATCTTTAATGGTGACACACCTGAATTATTCACTTGCTCCCTCTCTGACCCCCAAAAAACAACTTTGCAGTCAAAGGGTGTCAGACTGCACTTACATGCGCATCTACTTTTACATGTGAATGATTCCATTTGTGACTTGAGGTGTAGTTCATGGTGTTCTTTGATGTATTATCCAACAATGAAGCCTTGAGTGCTTTCATTCCAACAGGGAACATCTGTGTACCACAGGCAAAGTGGTTATTATGATTGTTAAGAATTGACTTCTACCCCACAAATTGTAGAGATTTTCACACTACAAACATGAGTGATTATAAACGGCATTCCCAACAGACTTCAGAGGAATGAATGTGTCCCCTTCCAAAATGTTCAAGACAGTCTCAAGCATTTGGCTTGAGAGTCATTGAGTTGAACACTTCAAGGATCAGTCTCAGACAAAATGAGAGGTAAAAATCATTCAATAAATGGTGGAAAAGGTTCGGTCATTGTCAGCATCCACAAAGTAAAGACATCTTCAACATCAGCACTTAAGAAACCATTCAAACACTTGATCGTTGCCCTTGTACTTTGTGTCATCTGCAGATCCCTGCAGTCCAAGTCCCTGTCTCAACTCCGGTGTGTGCAACACCATCCCCGTGGCTGGCGGAACCTGGGGTTTTTACTGTGTCTGCACCAGTCAGTTCCTGGGCCTTACTTGTGCTGTACCACGTGAGTACACATATCGGCTCCATCTTAGTTTGACCCCCCTGACTTGGCTGGCTTTTTTTTCAGCTCAGTACAAAAGTTATTCTCTGTTAGAGGAGTATCAAACTGTATTCTGTCAAAGCAAAGAGGGAAGTAATTTCATTAACCGTTGGCTTTTACGATGTCAAAAGAGGCTTAGAGGTAAAGCCAGTATTTGGACCCCAAGAATTAGGAATGTCTGCTGCAGCAATCCTCTACAGCTGATTGCATTCCTGGCCCAATAAATTACATTTCAGTCTTCTTGATGGTATCAAAGCAAGATGGGCATTGGACATGTAACATTATGGGACTACAATTCCAAAATGTCTTGGATGGAGTTTAAAATACATGTTGAACAGTCATATCAACTTAGTCTTGTGACAGAGAAGAGGACATATCACCTGCTAGTGGTCAAACTGTTGGGAACACAGGGTTATTGAAATATATTTTGAATACTTTATTGTTTGAAACTTTTGCAAATATTTAAGAAATTGGGAGCGATAGCAAAGTTTTTGAAAATGTTTATCAAAAATGACAAAAAGGGTTCAACACATTTTTGGGGGGCTGAACTTCCTCCATTCAACTTCTTTGCCCCCTCAGTAAAAATAGCCTTGTTGCAAGAAAATAAGAATATCTAGAAGTTTAGAAAAAAAAACGACTTCTTTATTTCCTTACGCGTAGGTGCCTGTGTCAGTAACCCTTGCCTGAATGGTGGACTGTGCATGGATGTACTTGGGTCAGCTAGCCAGCCCATCTATGGCACAGAGTTGACCACCGAAATGCTGGACTACAACTGTCGCTGTACTGTTGGATGGACTGGTCAAAACTGTGAAACTGCAGTAACTGGTATAAATTAAAGATGTCACCGTGCTTACAATTAATTTGATCTCTGTTTTTTCAACAGCTACTGCAAGTGTTGTTACATTACCATTTGCCCATCACCAGTATCATGTTCTATTCCCAGTACTTTCCAAGGATATCTTACAAATTGAAGGTCACTCAGTTGGTACCTCAATCCGCAACCTGCTGGTTGTTCTAGTGCCTAGTTCTAGTACCACTTCACCACCAGCTTTCAGGTCCTAAATTTGACGTAAAAGTTGACGCTCACAGTCACCGTTCACTGATGGAACATTTTTATCAGTTTGGGCGTTATGTAGTTTGTAATTGGTTCTGCCTTGTACATTTTGATCAGATCCCTGTCAGTCTAATCCATGCAAGAACAATGGCACGTGCTACAGGAGCCACTCCACCAACAGGTTCTTCTGCAGTTGCCTTGATGGCTTCTATGGGCCTCTCTGTGTAGGTGAGTTCATACCTATTACATTTCACGTGCAATACATGTGACAATACGTTCTGGTCTGAGTCCAGCTAGTATTTGACCAAATGTGTTATAATTTGGGTTAAAATGTGAGAAGGAATTTTTTTTGGAGCAATAATGGAACTTGGCCCAGAGATGTTAGATCTAGATTTTAACTACTGAACTAACCAACCTATTCTGAAGGTTCTTTTACGTAATTTTTGGTGATAGAAGTCATCCTGATACTGAGTAGTGCTTACCCAAATTACACATACAGCCAGTGAAAAGGCAAGAGTCTCTTTGTCAGTATTTCAAATTGTACAGTAATAGAGTACCGAAGTAAATACGTCACATGCACATTTAGTGTGTAAAAGGCATTAGCGCGAGAACCAGCGCATGAACCAACACACACGCGTACTCCATTCGTTTGCACTGCACATTCTGGTTTACAGTGACGTCACACTTCGGTACTCTATAACATTTGTGATTACAAGTGCTTATGAGTTACGTTTCTGATAAGGTCAATTTAAGTTGCCACATTTTTCAAACTATGATCAGGAAAACAGTACTAGTACTGTAATACATGTTACTATGGTAATTCAGATTGTAAATTTGAAAATGAATACACAAGGCGATCCATCTGCAATGGTGACCCATGCCCTTTTTGTGTTTTACATTTTGATTGCATACATTTTGAGTAAACATGAAATGACTTCTCATGTTTTAGAGATTCAGGGCTAAGGTCAAGGAGGTCGTTCAGTTTTTAGCTTTTCAAAATAATGGATATTCAAATTCCAAATCCCACTTTCCTTTTCACAATTGTCTGATTATGCATTTCTCCTTCTTTTCTACCCCCACAGCTGACCCCTGTGCATCAAACCCCTGTAAGAACAATGCAACATGCCAATCGGTTGGTAACGAGTACTCCTGTATCTGTGATACCGGCTATTCGGGTGACGACTGCACAGTGGAAGGTGAGTAAAATTAAAATACGGGGCCTTTAATAAACTTCCTAAATTTATAAGGGGAGAGAAAAACTTTACTTGAGAGAGGTAGAAATATACTCAGCGAGCATGAAAGTGAATTTGATGCCACAAAACATTCGCCGTGAAATTTACTTGAGTTGAAATGTTTTCAATATTTTGGTAGTTCTCAGCTTGCATGTTTGATCTGATGTCACAGTTTTGTGTTTGCGTTCTCTTCTGCAGTAAGCATAAATTGGCTTTAGTGTAGCTTAAGGTTTCTGCAAACTACTAAGGTTCAGAAACCAGATACAACTTCTATACGTCATACAGATTCTAAGCTCAGGGGCTCAGCTAGTGTTACAATTACTCTTGAAAGGTGTTCAAAAACATGTTTTTTGTTTTTGTGCTGAACAACACTGAATTTCGGAAAATTCAGATTAACAAAAAGCTATAGAGATTTATCAAGATGACAAGGGAGGTGTTACAATAAAACTGAATTCATTTATTTTCAGATCTGTGCCATTCTAATCCATGTGCTAATGGAGGGACATGCACTCTGACAGACTCCTGGTTTGAATGCAGCTGTGTTCAAGGCTACACTGGCACTGACTGTTCACAAGACGGTCAGTAGACAAGAAATTGTCTTTGGCTCCAGGGAACTCATTAAACAGACAAATTTTGGGGGCCATGTAGCCACTGTACATTCCCCTTGATTCCCCCTTCACAAACAAGTTTGAATGTGCATCCTTATTTCGCTTAGACCAAAGTGGTACCAAGGTGTATCCTAGGTACCGTTGGAAGGTGGCACTTCTGGCTCTCTTTTCTGGCAGGGGCGTGTTAGGATCTGAACCACATCATTTTCATAGAGTGAAGAGCAAAACACTGGCAAAGGCGGACTATCACTAGATAGCATTCCCCCTGTGCCCACTTAATTACCCTGTGGAGCTGGTGCTTTTGCATAATGATCCATACTGTTGGTGCTGCATGCTGCACAGAAGTGCCTTGAATAATCACCCACCAATTATGCTGGAGAGGGGACTACAGGATCTTATATTTCACTTACTTTTGGCAGGTTCAAAATCCAGTTAATGGCTGGAACCAAATCTGTTTTCAATTATTAAGCAACTCGTTGATAATTCATGATCAATTCTCAGTTGTTCAAGGGCTGACGAGTGTTGTCAACAATCTGTTTAATGTTGGAATTTATTAATATGGATTCAGGTTACCCAGCACTCAGACAGTGAAATTTTCAAAGGTTTATCCACTCCACATCCACTTTGTGATGTTGCAGTTGTTCTTTCTGTTCTCCTCCCTCCTCTGTTTACAGACCCTTGTTTTGACAGTCCATGCCTTAATAATGGCAGCTGCATCACAGTCAAACGTGGTGCAGTCAACACAGTAGAATACCAGTGCCTGTGTCCACTTGGCTTTGGAGGACTGACATGCGGGGTTCATTTTGGAGGTAAGATCTCTCTAGCTCTGCACTTTGACTCTCAGCAAAAATGCTTCTTATCAAAATCCCTTCAAATGTCTTCCTGTCTGTCCAAAAAGTTCGCAGCGCTCTGCATTGTTTTTGTATTTTTTTTTCTCCTTTTGCACAGGTTTAATCTACCGAAGCATATAAGGGCCACTTGCAAAAAATTTTTTTCAAGATACTATCTCGCCGCGGTGAGTTATTTATCCCACCGCGGCGAGTTATTTTTCTTGCCACAGCGAGTTACTTATCTCGCTGCGGCAACTTACCGTACTATCTCACCACGCGAGTTAGCTAAAACTAGTTCAACTCGCTGCATATTAATACTCAGTCTAGATACCAGACCCAATGGTTCTGACTACTCTTCTTATCAAGGGTCCTTTAGCACCCAATGTCCACGTGATCAACACTCCCCCCATATTCCCGGGAAAAGTCAAACCATTCCAAACTTATCCTGTCTATATTAAATTCAGGTTAACGTCAACGCCTTTTCTTTTATGCTCCTCAAAACTATTACAAAAATTGTTACAAAGATTAAAACTGGTATCCAGGGGAGAGGAAAAAGACCATTCGCATGGTATCGTAAATATTTGGACATTTCCGGCTGCGTCTGTACCTGTCCCTGGTATACCAGTCGGAGTACGCCATCCACTACAAAGTAGAATTAGGGTAAAAAAATTGGAACATGTTTTTGTTAAATTGATTGCATTTCAGTTTTAAATCTAATGTGTTTTAAGAGAATATCATTTTTAAAAAGCTCGTATTTTAGAAGTTTAGTATAGATTTTTCATAAAACGAACAAAATCTGAAGGATCTCATTTCTTTTTTTAGATTCCAAATCGAGTGAATTTTTGATAAAGAGCAAATGAATTTTTATAACGCAACTCTAGGATTGAATGAATTTTTAAAGTTCAAAATTCATTAAAAATAGAACAAAAACTTTACAATTTAAACATTTTTGTCGAAATTTAGACATGTTTTACAAAGTGGCAGCTTATCTATTCACGGAAATCTCATTTTATCCGAATTACGAAATCATCTTAATTGAAAAATCAGCTGATCTGAGAAAGCATCTGAATTGAGAACGCATCCAAAGCCACGTAAACAAAGTATTTGATCTTTTAGACTGTATTCTGTGAAAGCCTCATGGTGCTTCAAGTAATTTTTTCGATAAAGTGAAGCATATTTTGCCAAGACTGTTTTAGCGAAATTTTCACAAGTTGCTTTTTATTCGTGGTTGCTAATAAATTTAGATTTCGGTTAATTTGGATTCTCTCTCATTTAAGATGGCATGTGTAAAATACGTGCACTGAATAGCTGCTTTACGCTGAAAAAAAGTGTTCACATTGTCAAAATATGTTCAGTCTATTCTGTACAAAATATTTTATTTCAATCTGAAAAAAAGTTGGGACTTTAAAAATTTGTTCCATTTTTGGGGGCTTTGTAAAAATTTACGTTCTTTTAAAATTCCTTGGAATCTAGAAAATACACTGCGTCAATGAAAATTCATCCACTCCTTAAAACTTCATTTGAATCTAGAAAAAAATGTATTAAATCTTTAAAATTTCATTCTGCTTTTGCAAAAATTTATTCCAAATTTCTTAATTACGAATTTTAAAAAAGTGACATTTGCTGTAAAACATGTTCAATTAAAAAATGCTTTCCATTTATCAAAACATGTTCCAATCTTTTCGACCCTAGTTCGGCTTCGTAATTGGGGAGTACTCCGACCGATATAACCCGCAGAGTTCACAAAATTCTTGGTACAGAGGCAGCTGCAAATACCCGAATATTACCGATACAATCCAAATGGTCTTTTTATTCTCCCTTTACTCATTTGGCTACCAATTTTATTCATTTTAATCTTTGTCGCAGTTTTTACCATTTTGAGGAGCATTAATGAAAAAGTGTTGACGTTAAACTGAGTTTGATATGGACAGGATAAGTTCAGAATAGTTCGACTATTCTCGGAAATCTGGGGGAGTGTTGGTCACATCGACACTGGGTGATACAGGACCCTAGCTTGATTAGAAAAGTAGTCAGAATCATTGGGTGTGGTATCTAGACTGAGTCTTCATATACGCAGCGAGTTGAGCTTGTTTTAGCTAACTCGCCGTGGTGAGATAATAACTCTCCACAGCAAGATAGTAACTCACTGTGGTGAGATAGTATCTCGAAAAAAATACGCTTCCGTATTAATCTGATGGCAAAAAGAAATACAATTCTTGATTCTTTTAAAAGTTTTCTGACCTGTGCCATTTTGTGCTTGTTTGCCGTGATAACAACTAAATTGTTTAATACCACAATCAGAAATCACTGATTACTTAAAAATGATATTGAACTTTGGATAGACAATTCGTCCGTTGTTACTGGCAATGTTTTGGTCTATGTTACAGCATGACTAGATTAATTGGATTAAAGAGATTGATAGATGTATTAACCTAAAATTGTAAATATTGAAAAATGCAGTAAGTTAATTTTTTTGCACTTTTTTCTGCCCTGTATTCTTTCTACCTTCAATGCTTTTCCTTTGCCGACCCAATCTTCCACCTTGCATATATTTCCCTTTGCTGGTTTCCCTTTGCTGGCTTCTTCCTTGCACTAAGACGTGAACAAGTGCGTGCTGAACCTGTGCGAAAACGGTGGCACTTGCTACCGAGGTTCCGACTCCGTGGGAACCTACATCTGCGTATGCTCGGAGGGCTACCTGGGAAAGCACTGTGAGCAGAAAGAGTCTGAACGTACGTACAGTACTGCTTGACTTAGCCTTTCCCCAACCCTGATGTAGTTAACACTTGTAGCACTTGAAGAAAGCCGCTGCTTGTTCCCAGTGCTGCAGTTCTTTGTTTCCCTCCATTGTTTAAACTCTAGAGCCATTTTACAAAACCCAGCATAGCTTAACTTCACACCATTCATAAGGCTTGCATTAGAAATCTGTGGCATAGCTGCACAATATGCTTACAACTGATTTCATGGAATCTTGTTTGTTATTTTTAACATCTTAGACAAGGACAGTCACAGGTCTTACAAACAAGTGCACTTCCTTTGTAATCTTACAGCAACATTTGTTGATTTGGCTCCATCCTCTGTTTAAAAAAAATTCACCTCTTCTTTGTCATAGCGTGGTTGTACACCACCCAAGAAATGACTGCAGAAGTTATACAAGATTTGTTTGTGCGAGTCACAGATTCTTTCCATCTCCATCTTCGAGCAGTGCATTATAATTTGTTGCAAAACTTATGCAATAAAATGTGGCATCAGTGGAGTTCTGCCATTCTGTAAACATTCACCAAACTAGCTACAGATTCTTACCTTGGGCTGCTGGGTTCAAATTGAACGAAATTCAGACTTCGAACTAATTTTTGTTCACATTTGCTCAAAATAGATCCTGACCTGTGCGCAACCTGAAATATTAAGTGTGCAATTTGCTTCTAAAAAAGCTGTAGCTTTGTATCCCCTCCGTCAACGAGGTCGACAGATAACTTTCACATTTGTGCATTTTATTCTAAATTTGCTCAACACAAACACCCAATGCTTATTTCCTTTTTCAGTGCACACATGAGATTAATTTAAAGTTTCTGAAACATATATGGCACGGCTGTATCTTTGTAATTGGCATACTTAGTCTTAAATCCAGTCAAACGTATATGCACACAAATAGAGAAAAACCCACTCCAGATATTTCAACACTTCTCGTTGCAATACCCTTTAGTGTATGTTGATTTACTAGAGTAAGTCACATTGGCAGCTCCAATGCTCTTATAGGGATCTAGATCTCACAAAAAGTCCTCTTAAGCATCCCTGCCAAAGTTTTTTCTTTGAACGACACCTGGAGATTTTTGCTACAGGAACAAGTGGTGAAAAATGCAAAAAAATCTGCTAAACCATCAGAAAATAAAATACTTGCGAGTCTGAAGTTCCAACTGTAGACTCTGCTGGTCACTTTCCATGTTATGTAGTCAACCTTGTGATTTCCAAATGTGTCCTCATGTGGCTGCATCTAACATACCTGGCCAACAGATGCTAACCACGTTTATTGTTTCTCTTGGCCCTGTGTCAGTGTTCACTGAAAATGGATTTTTTGGTATCCTCCCACAGACCCTGTTGGTGTTACCCAAGGTCCTGATGATCCCTGTGATCCAGAACCATGCCAGAACGGTGGCAGTTGTTCCCGTAGTAGCACGACAGCAGGATACATATGCATTTGCCCAGAATCCTTCACAGGAAGCAACTGTGAGAATGCCTCTACAGTAGCTGCACCTACAGCTGTTGAACCCACGAGACCTGCACCTACAGGTGAGGATAGCATTTGGGATCAAATTCAGTTTGAAGTCACTACTACAGAATCGTTTTTAACAATGCCTGCGCATGCGTGTGTTTCTCTACCATACTTGTGGGTTGCAGGAAAATGATGCGTACATGATGCTCTTGAATCACATCATGCAAACACTCAATGACTACCTTCCTGCCATTTTGAAATAACCTCATTCCCGGTCTTGATTAACACTAATCCTCCTCAATCCTTCACCTGTTGGAGGACTGAGGAATGTTAGGGTTACTAACATGTTGTCAATTACCCCCTGGTTGCACTCCTACCTCCAGGGGCTCGGATATGTAATTGTGTTAACACACGTAACACACTAGAACACGGTTCAGGATTTCCTGCTTTTGTTGGCCAGGGACTTACACTACATCGCCTGTTTTTGCAGGGTGTACGGTTGGGAGCCGGATGTATAATAATGGAGAATCCTGGCTGGTTGGGTGCCAGCTGTGGTGAGTTGAAATAATGTGTCCTTTTTAAGAAAAAGAAAGGAATTTCAGAGCAGCAACCTTGAAAAGTTTTTGGTACTTGTATCAGCCTGATGCTGCATCACTTTGTAACTTTTTTTCTTTCTTTGCCATAGTTCTTGTTTGGGTGGCATGGCATCATGTGCAGATTGGAACTGTAGAGACCGTAAGTGTCTTCTATTGTGTCTGTCCGAGTTAGATTGATTGGATGACATTTTTGCCAGAGACATTCAAATGAGGGTCTTGAAAAGGGATTTCAAGCTCGTCCAAGTAAATCCATCTGTGCAATAGGGAATGTGTCAGTTGTTTCCCCCACCCCCACACGCCTCCAAAGCATGGCCATTGCATTACAGTCGAATTGACAAGAATCGCTTTCAACCATTTTTATCAAGGTAATTGGCTCTCAGCCTTGCTACGATAACTTTGGGGCCAACTTGATGTTTCTGAAATGGAAAAGTCACCAAACCTGCTCCTTGGTGGTATCTGCAAAGTAGTCAGATTGTGTTCAACTCTATCTCTTTTTCTCACCAGGATGTCTACATGAGAGCCGTATATATGAGCCAGGCACCAATAGATCAGACAACTGTAACTCCTGGTAAGTTATATGCTGAAACACTTGAAATACATCGACCATCAAAGTTGCTTGTTGTCTTCTCCCAGGAATTTTTCATGCCTTTGCAGTATTTTTCACATTCATTTGTGGTGAAATGTATTGTTGTTTAACTGTATACATTCCCTTAATTTCTGTTCTCAGTTTTGAGATTGTAAAAAAACCAGTGAGTTAGTTGGAGCTGTTTACTGTTGTGTGCTTTGACCTGTATTATGACTTACCTGGCTTTAAGTCAGCAACGAAGGTCTTTGTAATTTTCAGTTTGGTGTTTCTGCCTTTGTTGTATGGTCATTACTATTTGGTGTTGGAGTGTAAAGGTTTGTTACTGTTTTTAACATCGCAGGAAAACTTTTGGGCACAGACAGGACGATAGAGGGATGTAAACACAAGGTTTCTTTGCAAGGAATAAGCAGGAAAAAATACAAAGAGAGAAAGTAAAACTGCAATTTAAATTATGTAATTAGACTGTATATCATACTTTGTTTCTCCTCTCAGCACTTGTGTTAAGGGAGTCTGGGAATGTACCGACAATGCTTGTGGTAAGATCTTCTTTTTCTGAGCAGTATTTTCAGAGCTTAAGACTTTCATAACCATTGCAGTATCAGTGCTGATATAGGGAAATCTGGAACAACATTGCTCAAATCATCTAGGCTGTGGGCAAAGGATAAAGATGAGTTTTTACATCACCTTCAGTGAAGAATTAGTCTTGTGCATTCTTTATGTTAATCATCAACTCGTCCTGTCCCCTCTTCCTGCGTACATATTATCTCTTGATTCAAATTTCCATAGGCAAAACCTGCACCTACATGAGGGAGGTCTACTTGGCAAATGAAGATCGCAAGGAAGATTGTAATATGTGGTATGTTTCTCCTTGTAAAGTCTAGAATTGGTAGAAATGAGATGATGTCACAGTCAAGGAGTCTGTACGGCTTTGACTGAGGTCATCATAGTCTTCCAATCTTTTCTTTGTTTCTTTTCCATTTTGAAAAGTGGGCATCGTATCACCGTATGGTTTCCTACTGAGCATAAGTATATACTCTCAGTCTAGTCGACCTTCTGAAGCCCTTTTCATCGGCACTTAATAGAGTCAATGTGAATATATATTTCTATCCCATTGGCAGATACATGATTTTTTCACACAAGACTATCCTTATGACTTCATAATGACAGGCTTACTTTAATGAGAGGAATCAGATTTTGCAACTGACAGGATTTTTCTATTTTCATAACCTTGTCATTTTTATTTTTTAGCATTATTTGCTATATCAAATAACAAATCTCTCTTTTGGCATTGCAGTTCCTGCATAGGTGGGCAGTGGGGTTGCACGACCAGAGCTTGTGGTAAGTCTATTCTCTTCAGAGAGCTGTAACTTTATTTTGGTCAATTCTTTAATTGTGGACAAGGTTGTCACATGTCCTAAGATGAGAGCTAGCTCTTACGAAAGGAGAGTGCCCAATTGGTGTTGATCCCAAACATACAAAGGACAAGTTTGAATGATTTCTGTCTTTAAAGTTATTAGTCAACCATTTGGGGGCAAAATATAAAAAATGACAGTCTTTTGTAAGTGCCTTATTTTTTCACTGATTTTGTGATTTTGTTTGCATTAAATTTTTCTCTCTTTTCCCCTATATTTTACATGTTGCTTCATCTCCTAAATGCATCACTCCACAGATGCCCCGTAAGTGAAGAAAGAATTTTAATTATAGAAATATCAGAGATCCATTTAGAATTCCCAAAATTTAAAGAAGCTCACATCAATGCCTAGTGGACACTGCAGTGCAGAACAGTGGATATGGGCAGTATCAGTCCTGTCTTGTTTTTTCCTGTCCAAATCCGATTTTCCATTTTTGTTAAATGAACTCAAAAAAAAGATATCTGGGACAAAATGTAATTCTTGGAGACTCAGTTAGTATAGGATTGAGGCAGTTGTGCATAGATTTTATTGCATAGTAGCTGCTTACACGACTAGTGTATGAAAAAAAATAAAGTTGAAAAATAATTATTAGAGAATCAACAGTACAAAAGGTTTCAGACATCACAGTTTAGTTTGTGTGTGAGCTTATATGATACATAAAGTTTGTTTTCAACATTTTTATTTCATTTTTTTCTCCACAGTCCAATTGTAATTGAGGTGTCGTTTGAATTCATCAATGATATTAGTGATATAGCAGGCAAAGAAGAGCAGTTTATCAGGTAAGTTCTGCCATGACAAACCAACATGTCGGTCTCCTGATGATGAATAGAGCAGGCCGTCCGAAACATTGAGTCTCCTGGTTCTCCCCAGAACCTCATTCACAAAAGTGAACTCGCATGGTATTACTGTTAAGCTTTGTCATATAACTGCATCCACGATTTAAACCTTCAAAACACATTTCACACCATCATTGGTTCTCTGATGCTGGTTTTTAGGGTTCACACAATTTCTTTTAAGTTTTGCTGTTTGAATCTTGTTTATAGACCGTCAGTGCATGTCATTTCTTTAACTAAACAAAAAAGTTTAATTCACTGGTTATGCTGTTGCCACTCTCATTATCATCGGTAATTCTTAATCAAAAGAGGTTTCTAACAAGAAACGACTGTGGAAATAACAAATAGTACCATTAATTGCAATTCCACTTTCAGATTTTTTAGTAAAAGTTCTTCTTGTTTGTGAATCACGATTACCAGTGATTAACAGCAGGGCCTGTGTTCCCTCTTTGTGTGGAATTACCCTCATTCTAAAGATGGTTTCCCCCTTGGCAATTCCATCAGCAAACCTGAGAATTTGACAAGGGTTTACACTCCCCCCTAAAAAGGAGAACTTTGAATGGCTTCTACTGGATCATACTTACAGTTAGTCTAAATGCTGTAATGCTAATGTTATATTTGTGCCTCTCTGATCGATATGGGTGATTCACAATAGCACGCCACCAAGTGTTTGCAGCACGTTGGCCAATCATAAGGCACGAAATTTGTCGACCCTTTCCAAACCGGCATTGGGTCGACAAATTTCACGCACTGTAATTGGCCAAGCGTTGCAAACTCTTGATGGCGCTCTATTGTGAAACGGCTGTATTCAACGTTAAAGCACAAACTCTTGTAAATAAGGACAGAACAATTCCCTGACACATTTGCGTCTTCAAAATAATTACATGTGCATAAGAATTTTTGCAACTTCAACAGTCCAAGTTCAGCCTACATTAATGGCATGCCTGTCTGACTTAAAAAAATGATTTCTTTGATTTCAGTGAATTGAGAGCAGCCCTCATGCAGTTGCTGAGAATAGGGGACAATCACATTCAGGATATGGCAGTAAGTTCAGAGCATGTTTATTTTGTATTCATTGTCAGATTACACTTGTTTGAAAAAGTCTGTATTTAGTATCATTTCTGCGTAAACTAATCCACATTCGCATCCGGAACTCTCTCTAAACCTCTTTGTTTCAAATGTTTAATTTTTAAAGGAAGTTCTGCATTGAGAAAAAGGGAACATGAAGTGTTTTTTATGGATCCTCTCTCACAGGACGCAATCTTCATAGGAAAATGACAGCTGTCATGTGCATGTGCGTGTTTGTGCAGATGTTCTATTCGCACCCGCATGTTGATCCACATGTATTTGAAATACAGCAGAGCTGATGTGCATCACAACAATTTGAATCAAAAGTGCCGATGCACATGGCAATCTGTGAGAAGTGATGTCATCTGAGAGAGACCGTCATATTTCAGAATTCATCAGATGAGATCACAAACCTTTAAGTTGCCCTTCTCCATTTATATGGGTGATTTACACTCCACTGATTTTGTTTTAATTTTTAAAGATATTTCCTGGAAGCATAAAGGTGAAATTTAACCTCGTCGAGAACAAGACAGATAATGTCAACATTGAAACAGTGGCTGTCGTACTGCAAAGTGCGGTAAGGGAAACAACTTTGTTTTAAATTTTGAACTCTGTAAAATACTAGCAGCTAAAAAACATACTTTTGACGAGTGGTAGTGCACTGGACTGAGTAATACAGAACACAGTCTGCATGTAAAAAAGAGATTTGGCGCTTGAAAGTACGGCTTCAGAACAAAAGCCAAAGAAGTCAAGATTGAAAAAACGTCTTACAAATATGTTTCAGTCTGAGGATTTTAGTTTACATCAGAAACATGAATTAAATGCTTGTAACTGATCCACCGGTGTGGTTTTTAAAACTTCTACTCTTTTTCAAGTTAAACTGATAATCTACTTCAATAATAATAAAATTATTACAATAAAATTTAATAAAACTTAACCTGTGTAATTTTAATTTATAGCATGTGAATTTGATATCAGTTTTCCCACTTTTCAAATGTTCCTGGATTCTTTTCCTCCATGATGTGGGTGTATAGATCAGCGAGAACTCCTATATCTTCATGTTTGAGGGCCAGCAATATCAGTCCAACCCCTCCTCCTACAGAATGGTGAAACAGGGCGCGCCCACTACAGCCCCTCCCTCTGAGCAGCCAAACAGGCTACTCATTATCATAATTGTGTCCGTCTGTGGTGGTGTCGGCATTCTAATCGTCATCGCATCTGTCTGTTACATGGTAAGCCAATTTTTTTTATGCCACTCTCTGCTGGCCTTCTCCTTGCTGTTCAAACAACAGTGTCTGTGATCCCCAGAGTTTTTACCAAGGGGGAAGGACACAGGGTCAGGATTGTTTGTCAGCCGTTCAAGTACTGGCTGGCTGGCTGCTCCAAACTTCTTGAGTGCATAATTTTGTTCTATGTAGCATATTGCTTGGCAGTGCAGATGAGACCATATCATAGGATCATTCACAAGGCCAGACGCAAGGCCATTCACAGTACCAGCAATCAGTGACGGGATGAACAGCGACAGCATAGCTACCATATAGCATGGGTCTGCTGTTGGAAGTGAAGTTACAATTAAATATCACCAGCATGATGTGCCCAGAACTCATGGAGGCATTGCACATGTGCAACATTACTATTCCCTTTTCGCATACTCCATGCTACGTGTGCACAAACACTGTTCGTTACTCAAAAGAAGTCATTATTTAGCTCCCAAAAAAATCTGCCCCTCATCGTGTGTCAGCAGGGGCCCACAGCAGGCCTTGTTGATGGTTGCTCAGATCTGAGGAGAAAAATGGCATGATGGCATCCAAGCCATCAAGCAGCTCACAATATGGGGAAGTGTGCTCACTTATAGCCATTTAGATGAACAGCAAAGGGGAAGAGGTTGACTAGCTCGTTGGTAGCTAGTGATGTTGTTCTCCTGATTGTGATGAGTCCAGTGAAAGACACTGAATGTGCTTGATGGAGAAGCCCAACATTCACTGTGGGTTTGAGAAAGCTTTAAGTACTCTGGCATAAAATCAATCCAATTGGCCAGACTGCCTGAGCTTTTTAATCTCACCTTGACACCAAAATTGATGTCTATACTAAACAAACATGTTTTTTCTGGTTGAATTTGTGCAGGTGAAGAGACACACATCTAGAAGAAACATCACCGAGTACGGAGAAGACAGATTACCATCGGTAAGTTTTAAACACATTTGGCTTTCCCTCCTCAGAAAATAGCAATACTGCAACTATATGGCTTTGGCATGGAAATTTAATGAACAAAGAACCAGAAGGAATCGTGAATATTGGTGGAATTTTCCGATGGCTTGACAGAAAGCTTGTGAATTTTTTTCAAACTAGGTCTCATACAACACTGAGTATATTTTGGTCATTCATTCACATTCACCGTAAGGAAAAAGTAAAGTAGTAAAATGTACCGGGATAACTCACTGGAATTTGATTGCTCGAGTTAGGTGATACAAATCGTGTGGTAATAACTAGTCAGTTTAAATGTTGTCTCCATTTATGGGTACTGGTCAGGAGTCACGAATTAACCTGTATAATGAACTTTAAAGAGTGGCATAATTTATTTCATGGTTGTACACTTTTCACTCTTAATTTGATCTGGCTTTGTATGATATAATTTTTGTAAGTCTCTTTTGTCAAGACACAGGGAATGAGCAGGGTAACTCCTTTTCTCCTAGCTGGCAATCTGATCAGTAAAGAATAGGGTCTATTTGGTTCAAATCTTCACAATAAAAATCTTCCCCACAACCTGAGCCTCCCCAGAGCTTCCTGGTCAAGTCGCGGTTTTATGTTTGGTGTACAAAAAATGTGCTATTAATATCAGCAGCAAACGAATGTTCTGGGTTATGTTTTGTACATACAACTTTCTTTCTTTCTTGCTACAGCGCTCTGACAAGACATCGTGGGGCGGAATTGAAAACGAAGGCTACGACAGAGATCGAACGACCAGCAGATTTTAAACTTTACAAATTTCATCGTTGAAAAATATATTGTCTTTCAAACTTTAAGGCCAGCTTAACATCTGATGCAAAATCAAATAATGTGTAGACAAATATTGTGTGAACTTTATTAATTTTGAAACGATTATGAAAAAGCATTTAGACAAAGTAGAATTTTATATTCATCTTACAGAGAAAGGACTGAAATCGTAGAGATTTCCCGCATTTAAACTGTAACTTGCAATAGGTTCCAAAGAAACTGCATACAAAATGCTTGTGAATTGAATGCAATTTTACGATGTTTTTCATCATCCAGATGTATTCCAATTCATAAATAAAGCTAATAAACATCTGCCTGTGTTCCAACACTTTCCTCAAAGCTAGAAAAGAAATGTGGCAGTCGATTGAGTTTTAACTTGCATAAATGTAAAATCTTTTAAAACTTAATATCAACTTGGTAGTAACATTATGAAATCATAAGATGCGATAATTTTTGTACTATTGAAAAAGAAAACATAATGTTTTATATGTTTGTATTTTGGAAAACAAAATTATAATGATTCTTTAGTGGAATACTTCCAAGTACATTGAATTAAAAATCAAGTGCTTTCACTGCAGGAGACCATGTTTTGCAGGCAAATTTCCAATGCAAACGAAATGTTTGTGTCATCATTAAGAACTTTTTAAAATTTCTTCATGTGCCGTGTATGATGCTCCACAAATTTTCTTTAGATTGTTTTTATTGTTCATGTCTTTCCTCCTTTTGTCTCGTGTATAATTGAATGGGAAATGGTGCATTATTAACACCAAAGTGTGTTTACCTACTTCCTATATTTTGTGACGTATTATTGATATATAAGATAAATTAGCAAAAACAAAATGTAAATTACAATGTCATGTATGAAAGGTCAATCCAAAAACTGTTATTTTCATCACTTATTTACAGTATTTAAACCAACAGTGGTCCTCTTTAGGTTACAGTTATCCATGGTTATTATTTTCATATTAAATGATAAGCATTTTTCCCCTTGTGAGTTATGATTAAAGCATTTGTGTATCACTCTGTATGAATATGGGTACCGTGTGGGATGGGTTGGGGATGGGGGGTACTTGCCTCACCCCCTTCAGAAGAAGGGAGGATTTTTTAAGTGCAATTAATAAAAAAAGAAATGATTAAAGGGGATGAAAATTTATATTGGCATTTTCAACGACATACCTCAGAAAGAACCTCCTCTACAATTGGTTTGTCCATCTGCTACTGTTGAGAGTGAGGGCCCCCCCCCAAGATAGCACTTTACTTACAGTACCCATGCGTGCGATGCTAGAATATACACCCCTTCGAGAAGAAAAGACATCCGATGTTTCAAAGGAGAAACAAAGATTGGAAACATAATGCAGTTGTTTAACAGTCGAAGTGGTGTCTTCAATAATGCTGAGATTTGGTCTTTGGTGTCCTTTACTAAGTTTACTTTTGTTTGAATTTCAAATGACAAGTTTATACCAATTAAGTAATGCCTACATTACTTTGTTACTTGTTAGTCATATAAAAAAATGCCTATCAGGGCTCACGCAAGTCGTAAATGCAAATAAATATAGATGATTTTTATACCACAAGATAAAGATTATTAGATCTCATACCGTGTTTATATGTTGTCTGACAGTGCGATTTTGTCAGAGCCTGTGTTTTTGTGCATCGTAGTAGATTATTTTTCAATGCCAGTTATTTCGTTTTTGTTCTTTGTGTTAAAAGTCCTGTAGTTTTTAAATGATATTTTCTTAGCAGTTTCTAACAGACTTACAAGGCTACTTCACTTTAATAGAAAAATAGTCCCCCGCCAAATACCAACAGAACCTTTGCCGACCGGGTATCTCTTCTGCTGGGACTGTCCGCGAAATCCAGCACCTTAGGTTGGAGACGTACCGCCGACTCTGCAGCCAGGGCCCTTACTCGTTTTACTCCCTTGCATGTTGGATAGGGAGGGAGTGTGGTGAGTCAGGAACCCCGTGACCCCAGAAAAGTCCTACAGATAAGCCGGTAACTGCGATTCCTTGCGAATTTCAAGGGGTCTTTGCGCCTGAATGCTCGGTCAACCACGAAGAAACCACGATGGATTTTTTTTAGATTTGAATACAATGGGTTAGAGGCTTCATGATGATTTATTTTCATTTATAATCTTAATTTCCTGCATTTTCGACTACAATAAGACCGATTGCAACCGTCTTCAGGTCCATTGTTTCTAATTGATCTCAACATGAGAGCAGCGGTGTATCTAGTGAATGATTCAATATTGATAATTTAACAGTGACAAATCCGGGCTGGCAGAGTCGGGCGGCATTCGCCTCCTTATTTTATTGATGGAAATACATTTTCATTGTCATCATTACAAATTTCGTTTTCTTTCAACTGCCTAGAGTAATTTGTTATTTTCAAAAAGAAATTTTCACCAAAAAAAAAAAAAAGCTCTCCCATCGGCGATGTCCGCACCAACATTATTCACACCTGTCGCGTCACGCAAACAACTTCTGACCAATCACAGCCGGTTTCACTAGCGTCTGCCAATTAATAATTTGCTGCTGCGCCATGCACACGCGCTGCGCCTTGTGTATGCAGAATGCAATATGTAGGACGTGTTTTCACGACATTGCAGGTTGGGCACTGAGTTTCCGGGCCGAGTTAAGTTGCAGGCAGTTTCATGACACTGGTGTTCTTGAGAGCACGTTCTGGGGTATCGGTAAGATGATAATTTCATAGTTGGTGTGGGCTGAATACCTCTACGTACGTATCAGGCTTTCATGGCAGCTTCGTTCATAATTGAACGCTGGACATGCAACATAATCCGCAGAGTCCATTCTTAGGTTCACGTGTCGATTATCGATACAAGGGCTTAACAACTGTGAACTTGATGAAACAATCGACTGGTTTTATCACTGGTACGCCCACTGTCGATAGTACGACAGTCGCTTTTTCTGGTATAGATAGAAATCGCATGTGATCAGTTCCTTGAGCAGTAGTAACTAGTAAATGTGGCTTTGTAGGCCTAGGACTACTCCCTTTTTAGGATTGACTTGGTCATTGGTTAGGCCTACTGGGTCTAATATTACAATGGATGCATTGGTCTTGTACTTTGAAAAGGCCTTAATAATGAAATTTCAATGAATCTTGGTACATTTAAACAAAAGGAACCAAAAAATGTCCGACAGCCCACCACAAAATTTCATTTTTGTTGAGGAAAACTATCCTTTTTCTGTCATTCAACTGTTTCATTTTTTTGTAACATCACTTTTCAAAGAAAGCATTTCTTTTTGTTTTCCCAAGTCTGGGTAGACTTTCCAGCTGTACAGTCTGTATATATTTAGCAGAGTGGATCAAAAAGATGTCTCAAGAGGAAGAAGATGATGAACCACTGCCTGCCCAGTCCAGCCACTGCACAACCTGCACAGAATCAGAGGCCTCTGATGATGTCTGTGAAGCCTCTGACATGACCCATCGGGGTGCCACCTCCCTCCTCACCGGTCGAAAGCGCCGAAGACGGACCATCATTGCGGCCGACCAGCTGATGAAGATGGAGGAGCTCTACAAGCAAGAGCAGTGGCCTGGACGGGAGAAGAAAGAATCCCTGGCCAGGGAGATCGGCATGTCCACCCACTTCGTCAACATCTGGTTCCAGAACAAGAGGTCCCGGATGAAGAAACTGGCCCAAGAGGAGGAGGAGTTGGAATTTCTTCGTAAAGCAAGAAGCCCGGGGTCAAAGGTCGACCCAGTGCATGGCTCCAGTACGGGAACCAAGCCAATTGCCATCGCTCCAAAGCCACCCTTTGGAAAAACAGTTCCAAGTAACCAGAGCCCCATTGCAGCAATCAGAATTCCTCAAGTGGGACCCTGTTTAGTCTTAGGCCAAAACATCAGCATGAATGGTGGAGCTTCACCCATCTCCTCGAGCCAGGTCACTGGATCACCTGTGCATCCAAGCCCCACAATCAAAATCCAAAATGGCACATCAAGCAGCACAAAAAACTCGGGATTTGAGGTACTAATGATGGTAAATCAGTGTTTTTATTGCTTAAAAGTTAACATGACTTATTCTAGGATCAATTTGAAGATTTGACAGTGTTAAAGTAGAGAAGACAGGCTTTACAGCTGACAAAACAGCTGGGATCTCATCTTTTGGTAAGTGGTGGTTCTGAAAGTTGCGAGAAGTTGAGAAATCCAGAAGTTCACTTGCCACACACACTGATCAGCTGAATGTTTGTTCAACATACTGCTCCATTTGACTTCTTTGTGGTTTTGTGGTGGCAATAACATCAAAGTTATGTATTCATGATAAAGCATAGCCAGGCATAGCCAGGGGGGGACACATGCCCCCCCACAAAGTCCAGGTTCCCCCCCCCTGAAAAAAAAAAACGGAGGAAGGATATTGAACCACGCTAACTTAAAACTTGCCCCTCAATAACACACCGCAGAAAGCTGGTGCCCCCCCCATAAGATGCTGGTGCCCCTTTGTGCCCCCACCAGTAAAATCCTAGCTATGCCACTGACTAATATATCTGGCTCATTTACATAACAGATCTTCAGAAAGTTACAAAGTCCCAAATGAATTTGTATCAGCAATTTGAAGTGCAAACTACATGTATTGTTGTTAAGGAGACGTGATGATGCCTCTCTCATGTCTTGCATTTGCGTTATTGCAGGCCACTGCAACCCCAAGTTCACCTGTTTTATTCCAACCTCAGCCGATGGCAGTCAATGCCCAGTTGACTCAGCTGCCCATGCAAGCCCCAACCAGGCCGCTGAATTTCTTCAAGTGCCTGGTTTCCATGATGGCCGTAGAGGAGGGCGGACTCCTCAAGAGAGGCAACCCGGAGTTTGACGTGGCAGTGAATGCCGCCCTCTACGGCCTGCGTATGGCCAACGGCAATGTTCTGACGTACAGGAAGAACCGGGGACTGTTTATCCACAATGACCAGCACTGAACCATTGACAGCTGTTTGAGACACTATTACCATGAAAGAAACAACTACGGAGCATTGGTTTTGCTGTTGAGGGTGTAGCGTTCATTCTGGGCGAAGAAAAGGAACGCCGTTCTTCCAGTTTTTGACGTTTGCAATATGAAGTGCCACATTGGAGTACACTATTTCTGAAAAATGAAAAATGAGGAGGACTGATTTTTTTATGTTGACCTTTGCATTATGCAGGTTTTATAAGTTAAAATAAAGTAAGGGTTGAAGAAAGCGGGTGCTCTAATGCTTGATTCATTAAGTTAGACATGTATTTTGTCGAATTGAGATAGAACAGGTCATAAAGTTGAAATATATGACTAGAATTTTCATGTTACCCAGTAGTGGAAACTACACAGCTCGTTTCTGTAGGATAATTCACAGTCTATTACATTTAGACCTCAAACTATCCCACGACAGAGCTTGTCTTCGATTTGTAGAGTAAATTGATTAGTGTTAAATTGGTAAACTGTTTAATCATTAATGGTCAATGATGTATAATTGAGACAGCTGTAAAACTGTTCCCAGAAAGAAATAGGGTCTTCATAATGTTTGTAATATTTCCCATTCATAAATATCATTTGTTCAGACTGTTGCTTTATTGTGATAAGTTGTCTTTCATTTCTCATTCTCTTCCATGCCATTGGTGGAAACTTCAATGAATGCAAATTTTGGCGAATCCCAGCATGCAAATTCGATCGATATCCACTCGATTGTCAGTTGAAAGGTCACGGTGCAAACACATGCCGTTTTCCAATACTCAACGGCGGCTCCGTCGCAGGCTTCACCTGTTTTTAACTAGTTGACTTTGAAGCTGTAAGCGCAGTAATTAGTCTAATAGTGCCACAAAACATCAAATAAGATGCAAGAGAGCCAGAAATTACAGTAATTTAATTTAAACGCTTCAGGCCCACAATCGGGGATTGGTTTTGGGAACGAAGGCTGCGACGGAGCCCAAGTCGAGTATTGGAAAAGGGCCACAGTATAGAGATCAGTGCACTGGACCTGCCACGCTGAATTTTCCGGATTGAAATATTAGCAAAAGAGACTGGGTGCGTGACGACCGGCGCGGCACGTTGCATGCTTACCCCGTGTCAGCTGCACAGTGGGTACGAGTGTGCGTAACACTTCTGTCGGGAAAAATATTAGGCCTGGGCCTACTTCCATTTGGAATAAACGGTTTCTGCGCAGCTCATATTCAATCGGAAATCTGTCCCATCATCATGTTCAGAAGGAAGTTAGAAGCTCTAAAGTATCATCAATCTGACATCGATATAAAGGGTGAGGGTTTGAAGCTGTTACACCAGTACCGTGAAAATTGGAAGTCCATATTGACATGATCATGACACACATGCATGATGATGGAGTCCGTCAAGCCTTTTTGTACAAGGGTGGGCCTATGTGTCATGGTAGGCCTAGTGTTAATGTCATGTGTGTGCTGTGCACACCGAGGCCAGATACTGGGTGAAAAGGCCTAACAACAACAGGCTTAACTCGTGAGTCGTAGGGTCAGCTCAGTGGTCGAGTGGTTAAACTGTCTGCACTAGTAAAAAACAGGACTGGTCGTGGGTTTGAGTCCCACCCAAGTACGCTGTGGGTTTTCTCACAAACCTTCAGGTGTTGTAATACTCGTCGGGCAAAATCCAAAATTAGTCAGTGTTTTGTTGTGGATCCTTCGGGTCGCCGTCATGCCTGTAGCCAACAGCCTCGAGTTGCAAAATCTCTTCCCGAGTGTATTCTGGTTCGAACTGATAAGGCAATATTTCTTGTGCCTCATCAGCTCCTTCAATGTCGCTCTCTTCGTCAAATGAATAAGACGAACAAGACAACTGATTGCTGTCATGATCAGAAAAAGCATCAATGCTGGTATCATCGTCGCTTGAGTCTGACATGATGGCACATGTTAACGCTACTGCATTACTTACATGTCGAGGTGTCGTTGTGTCACAATAAACAGTCGCCGGATAAAGGACTCCGTCCTATGACTTCACGGTTCTTGGGAACTTCTTCAGACAACTTTAGGTACCTGACAGGTGATTTTTAGCTTTTGCTCCGAGAAGGGAGTTGAATAAGGTCGTGAAAACTATAATTTTTAACATATTTTTGCGCATTTTGAAATTATTCAGATGTGTTTTCATGTTATATGCATGTTTGTTTTATGTGTTGATGCATGTTTTACAAGAAGTCTTTCCCAGCACGGCTCATCCCCTGTAAACTAAAAGGATTACAACTAGTTTGACATAGGCCTAATGTTAGGCCTAGACCGTGTGTCATGGTTGTGAGTAAAAGGGTAGGTCTGGTTGTAGCTGTTATGCCCCAACTAGGCCTATAGCGTCTGTCCCAACTATAGTTGGGCTGGCCCAACTATTGGCATGCTTGGTGGCCAATCTTTGTAGAAATTTCTCAACCTTCTCCAAATTTATAGAGTTCACTCCTGATGTAATTTATCTCAAATATGGCACTTAATTTATAATTAAACTTTTTTCGAAAACCATAAGTTGATGTAAACAAAATGACTTTGGCACATGCTCGCACTGAACTTCTGTCATTCTGTGCTGTAGTTGGGCTGGCCCAACTACAGCACTATACAAACCATCAGAATGCACCCATGTCATGCTTGTCATGTGCCTCAGTTAGCCTTATTTTCAACTTTGGTTGCACTGTTTTGAAGGGTGTTTTTATACTGCCTTGTTGGATTTTCATGCTGATGAGTATTTCCATATTCATGAGTAAAACTGCGATGTCATCATAGGAAAAAAGCCTAAATGTTAAATTGTTTCTACACTAAAAGTCCTGCATTGTTGTGGATTTGTTGGACTAAATGATCTATTCTACACCGATTCATTGCTAATGTGCCTAGCATGCAATAAGCAAGCATCAATCCCTTTCTCAAAAATGTTTTTGGTAAGTAAATTCTGGGTACACAAATTTAACAGAAAAACCTATGCACTGATTTATGTCTTACCTACAGACATATACATGTAAATGCCACAGCTGCCAGATCAGATTCAAAACTGCGTAATCAATTCGTGATCTGCACAGCACCCTGCTTAAATCAAAACTACATGTATGGGAAAATTCACCCCTCGGTATAGGGAATTTACGCACAGTTGAAGAATTCCAGCCCCAAAATTATACGAAGCCATTTTTGTTTGGTGAAAAAACTCCCCATTTACTTAAACTGACCCATGTAGAGTCAAAATGTTATGGTTGCAACATTTGAAAAGAAGAGAGAGTAATATTGAAGAGGAAAAAGTGAACGTATTCTGAGAGCACATTCTTTTCAAAGTCATACACACAAGACCGGTGGTCTATCTGTTTATATATGTCTGTGGTCTTTCCTTGATGACATAAGAGCTACAGCGCCCTCAGTTGTCCAGGGAAGCTTGGATTTATGTGTTTAAAAAGATGTACTTTTCACTCCATTTAACCAAATAGGCATGTAAAAGTGCAAAGTTGCAGGAAAATTGTGTCTGGGAAATTGATTGCGGCTACACGTTCAAGTGTTTTTGGAGTAAGTGCTAGGATATTTCAATTTCTCTCTTTGACTTTTAGAATATGTAATTTTGGAGGGGGCATAGCCGACATCTCACTGTGGGGAAACTTAGTGATTTCCATTTATGGAATTCTCCCTTCTATTTTCAATCATTTGGGAGGGGGTGTGAGAGAGAAAGTTGGGTAAATGAACTTTGTATTTTGCCCTCGTCCTGTCGCACTTTTTTATTTAATGATAAAGAATTCCATATAATGGACACTGCTAATTTTTCCCTGTCTTGACCTATTACTAGTACTATTACCAATTTGCAAGCAATAAAATGCCCTAAAAAGTCCAATGTAGCAGTGAAAGTATTGAGGTATTCTCTTAGACAACACTCAGAATTTTTCAGACCAGTCTCATCAAAGGTTGTACACAGATTGTCAAGCAGCATTCATTCTTTCCATTAAATGCTTAGTGCCTACCAGTTCCCTTCTACTTCTGTTACACCAATTTATTCCATTGGACGCAGGAACTAGACTTGGATCAAAGACTGTATTTCCTTGTATGAAAATACAAGGTTAATCGGTTTGTTATAGTGGCCTGATACAGAAATCTTGCTATTTTGTGAAATTAATGTACAATGGTACATAGCAGGATCTGGATGTTGCTAAGTAAGTCCACTTACTTAGCAACGGATGTTGCTAAGTAAGTCCACTTACTTAGCAACAAGAAATAAAACCTCCTAAATGTACCGATTGTTGAATGTTAAATTTTCAAGTATTTTACAGTGGTTCTTTTATTAATGAAACACATTTTATAATTCATATTTTGGTGTTTCTTTGGCCAGATGAAATGACATGGCGCAACTTTGTAGTTTGGCTGGAAGATCAGAAAATCAGGTTGTACAAGATCGAGGACAGACAACCCTTAAGAAACTACATCAGTGGTGACTGGCCAAAAGTGTTTCAACAGGTAAAATTGAGTTTGTTCAATTTGTTGTCTTTTTTTTCCCTTGCATCACTTCCAAGTTGAAAAGGGGAAAAAAAATAATGTTTACAGACATAAAGCAACAAGACAAACAGAAAGGAATTACTGTTTTCATACAAGAATTCTAAGAACTAGTCAGTTGAAGTTAAAAGTACCAAATTCCTTTGTTTTGAATACTATAAACTGCTATATTTTGGGTTTTTTTAAAGAAATGCAGACTTGGTACTTTTTCCTGATCATTCTCTTTTTCCTTTTTTCCCCCTTGAAGTACTTGAAGGATCTCCAGTGTCCAGTCAACAGCCAGGATCGATTGGCTGCCTGTGAGTGGTTATTGGCCCATGCAGTCAGACTGGACTACGGTGAAGATGGTAATTTTTAAGAGAATTGTGCTCACACTAGGTGGGAGAACTGCCAACCACTATTTAGAATGCTAGTGTTTGGACTACAACTGACTAGTCTCTTAGGGGTGCTAAATTTGAACTTTAAACCTTGACCATTTGGGAAAGTGAGTTTTAATCAATTTTCAGTCTGCCACTAAAAATCCTCCATCCAGGGGTGAGATTTCTCAGCTTTGTAGCTGATTTTAGCTTTTTTTGTTTTGGATTTCAGCTTTTTTTCCTCACTGGCTGTGTCCAAAAGTAGAGGAGATTTTCACCGTTCAGCTTCTTTATGCCTTTTTTCAGCTGTTTTCAGTTAATTTTATCATTGGTCAATCTCACCCCTGTCCATCTTGAGAGAAACCAGTGGCAAATTCTTTGTAATTAAAACTTTCATTAAGGCTGAGTCAGTATTGATAATTGAACATTGTAACATTTGACCTCGTGTTGTGGCTGAATCAGTTTGAATAATTGAATATTCGAATGTTTGAATATTCGAATGTTTGAATATTTGAATGTTTGACTCTCCATTCAATTATATATTCAAATGTTCAGTTGTACCAAGTTCCAACAAATCTGGAAACAAAATATGCATGGAACAAAGAGAAAACTGGAAGTCCAGCTGGTGTTCCGCCCTAATAGACCGATTGTGCCAACTACGTCACATGACCTATAGTGGGTATCAAACTCAACAAACATGGCGTCCTTCTATACCAAAGAATGTATGTCATAAGTGTTGTTTATTAAAAAATAATGCCGATTTTTGGTCTGGTGCTCAGCTCATCCGTGTCTGAATACTTTACTGACTGTCTGCTTTATATTTTGGTGAATGACACTTAAGACACACTTTGCTGTGGGAGGATGCTATGTTTGCTGATGTTTGCTACACACCGTAGGCCATGCGACTTAGCAGGTGCAATCGGTCTTTTAATGACAGATTGCCTTATACCCCTGAGATCACACAACACAAAAAAATTATAAAGTAAAACTGGAAGGAAAAAGTAATTAGTTGGCCTGATTGTTTGGCATATACATCCGTTTTACTCACAATGCAGTCAGATATGCTTTTAAAATGCAGTTTTATAACAAAATAACGTATCTTTTTCCCTTTTTATTTCAATGATTTTCACATCCATATGTTTGATTTTGAAAATGAATATGGAAATATTCAGTGATAGATTATTTGAATAATCAGCACCACCCTCACTTTTGTGATGAAAACATCCCATGCAAAGACACAGTGACTGTGTTCTCGCAATCGCCTGGTGTATTTTTTAAAAATGAGAAAGTTCGAGAGCTGCAGCTGTTATTGTTTTTTCACGTATTTTCCTGAAACCAGCAAATCATCTTCTTCTGGAGAGTCACTCCATTTCTTTATGGTTTTGTTTTGTTTTTTGCAGTCGAGAAGTACAGGGCAGTGACCGGTGAGGGAGTGGCCAGACAGAACTCGGCATCTGACGATCCCTTCCAAAATGTCAATGGTGAGTGACTTCATGTTAGTCCTTAATCTCAAAACCTGTGCCCATGTACTTAGGCTTGCTGTCTTGTCATCTGCCCTGTAAAACACAGAGGACCATTGTCGTCTAAACAGTGTAGAAGGCTTGGCAGTGGCAGCATGGAATTTATGTCCCTTTTTTTAATGGTAAGTAGATGTTTATTTTGGAAGACCTGAAACACGCAGCATTTCAGGTAGCACATTCTGATCTTCTCCAGGTGAATACCTCCTTGTGTTGAGGCTGATGAGTCCACTTGATATTTCCACAAGCTTGCTACAGTTTACTCCATGGTTCATGTTGCCTTTAAAGTCAGAAGAACAGAATTCACATTTTGTGTGGCAAAAGACTTGCAGTATTTAAGAAATAATTTTTTAACTGTCTGTGCATCGTTTACTCCATCCACCTTCAAATTGTGGGATAGCTTGGGAGCTAGTTTAAAGAGAAAAGAGGTGGTTTTCAGAGCGTAAAGGTCATTGAATAAAGGGTCAAAGGTCAAATTGATACCCACAATGGCTATATCTGGCTTGCTAGCTCGTCACACATGCAACACACAACTGATTATGAGCGCCCATTGGTTAATACGCCAACTTTGCATAACTTGATATTGCTACCTATCCGCTCCGAGCTTAACGAAAAAGAGGGCGTGTTTTTTTGGTACTCACCACATAGGCGCGCCATGAGGCGCGAAAGTATATGCGCGTTTGATGCGGAGCACACTGAGTACGCGTAACTAATTTATTCTGGCATGTATGGTCTTTGTGTACATGCAGAATGCGTGAAAGAACCCGCTTGTAACCACCTGTCTTTCTTTCGCCAATTGAGGGTGCACTTCAGCTCGGGGTGGATAAGTGGGCGTGGTTGCATTATCACACTAACAACCCAAACACATCAGCTTAGCTAGAGTCGTTTACTGATTGAATCAGTGATATTTCATTTTACAGTGCACAGTCCAGACTTCAAGGCTGGCCTAACCTCTGTGTGTCAGTTACTGAAAATCCCCCAGCACTATGACCAGGTGACGACGCTAGAGGCAGTCAGCATCTTGATACAGGAGAGATTAGCACAGGACGGGAGTAAACAAGAATTGCAGGAGGTAACAGGGCAACCCCTGGGATCTTGTGAACCAGTAGCTGAGGAATGGTCTTGTGTTTGGGCCTGCGAATGGTCCAGTAATGACCTTGACCACAACACTAATAGAGCCAGACTGAGTCGTGTGCAGATCACACCAGAGAAACATATGCTGCTGGGTTTAATTTGATGTTGCATGACGTATACCGGAGGGATTTTCAAGATTTTCCATTTTCAAAATTCTTTCAAAATTCATAACTTCATTTACTGGACGTTCACACCCACACAATGACTGTCTGGCAGCTACTCTAGTCTGACAGACAACATCTATTGATGCCCGAGTATTTCAGCCAGGCCTGCTGCCTTGTAAAAAGAGCCCAGATTGTGCGGTGTTATGTAATTTTCTTTTGTTCCCGAAACTGGCACAGTGCACTGCTTTTGTCTTTTCAGTAGGGACTAGATTAGCATGCAGCGGTATTGAATCGCTCATTGCTGGAGTACGTTTGTCCCCGGTGGTAATCCGCTCATGCTGAATGCCACAAACAGTGGTATAAATCTATCAAAA